ACCTAAGTACTTGTAGAATTGTCGCTGAGAGACGAAAACTCCAGCGACCCACTTTCATTCGGTCTATTCTTGAGCACAGGTAGTAAGCTCTATTTTCATTTGATTTCCTAACTGTTTAACATAGTTTTCACAACAAGACGATAAACCTCTGAAACTCAGAACATCCGGGAGCAGTGATAAAATGTCGGTATTTTCGTATTCTTGCAATATTTATAATAGATATCTATATGGAGAATCAAATTTCATTTAAAAGTAAGGATTTTCAGAGGTTTCTACAGGTGATTTTCTTAAAATTAGTGCCGGGCCATTTATTCTATACTATATTGTAACCGATGTCTGTTTATTAATAAAATATTATTAGAAGACTTTAGCAACGTAATAGAACCAAAAAAATATTGCGAATTTTTCTTTGTCTGTTTGTAATCTCACAAAAGTCTTAACAGATTGAAGTAAACTAATGTATTGCTTGCTTCTTTTTATCCACAGGTACAAGGTTTGTGTCCTTGTTAATTCGTTCATTTTTTCCATTCAGTGGTGTTCCGCATCAAAAAATTGCAATGAAATTACAATGACAAAAAATCATAGTAATCAAAATTACAAGAAAATTAATCAAAAATATATTTCTAGATTCACTTATTATCTCCTAATTTAGTGTTTGTATTCCAATCGGTTTATAAACAAAAAAATTATACCTACGGGTACAAAGTTGTCGACTCACTAGTCAATTATAAAGACGTATACCTATATGTTTAAGGTATTGCAATTTGAAATCTAAAATAATATAAAGAGCTACTACTCTATGTCTGTGTGTGATTATTGTAAGTTAGATATTTTATCGTCATAACGTATATTATTATTATTATAATAATGGCTTGTGTTACGGTACGGTGTTAAACAACTGATATAAAACTGAAATATATTTTTTGTAATTACTTACATAATATAAACAGATAAATATCCAAACCAATACAAATAATCATATAATTGCATCGTGTAAAGAATTGAATACGTGACCATCGGAAGTAAAACGGTGTGCGAGAGCATATGTTATTATCATTATAATAGTCTATAACATTTAATCTATAACTGCTGGGCGAGAGTCTCTCCCCGGATCAGTTTTATTTAGAGCTGTTCTTGTTTTGTACTGGCGCTATGTGCATTTGTTTACTCCATAACCTCAAACCGTTCCTTGTAGCACAGATAACATAATATTACATACTTGTAGCACCTCTTTCTACTACTAAATGATAAGTCGAACAACCACATATAATATATGATTCCATTTCTTTATTTAAAAACTTTATTTTATTTTTATAGTAGGTTCATTATGTATAGTATGACCTGTTCATTTCTTGAATCAGTGAGCTTTTATTATTGTTACATATTATATTCTTTGATAAAGGCATAGGTATTTGAACTATAAAACAGTCATCTCCTATGGTCGTCGCGTCACCTACCTAATGTATGTTTATGATTTTTTTTGCGAATGCTATTTTTTTCTTGGCAGAGTCCCTTGTTTCGTTTCTCGTACGTTTATTTCGGGACGACAAGTACTTTTGCACTTTGAATAATTGTTAGAACTGCTTACATTGAAGATTCATCTTTCCGGATCAATTCTAAAATTAGGAGATAATAATATTTGCAATCTGACTGCAATAAAAAAGAAAGATCTGTATACCTATAACTAATTGTAAAATTAAGTTTTACTGATAGTTTTATAATAAGTATTCAAATGCTTAAGGGGGTCTTCCTATGTGATGGGTTGAAAAAATCGTTTTTTTTTTTTCATAAATTGCTCCCTTAACATGTCTAGAATACGGTAGTAAAGCGATTTTAGAAAATTCGAAGTCGTTTTAAAGATACAGCAGGTAAAAGAAAGAGCGGTTCGGAGCGGTGAGTTGGCAGTCAGAGACCGGGCCTATTGTGTACCGTCGGCTTTATACCTGGCCTCCCTTTTATTAATATACTTGTTTATACAAGTTTAGACACGTTTCTACAGACTTAAAAAGGATAAAACCAATAAAGGAATAGGAGGAAAAGGAGCAGGTAAACTTACTGATAAAGTTATCCAAGAAATTACAAAATTCTACGGATTAACAATTCGACGCCATCCAGATTCGCTTGAAGATATGAGAAAGGAAGTTTGGGCAACGTACTATCACAAATGTTCTTCTGATGAAAACCCTCAGCATCAATTTTGTCCAGAAGGCGAAGACAGTTGGTGTAAATGGCGTAAGGCTGAAGCTAATAATGAACTGGACCAATTTCATCACGATAAACCACCTCTAATTCCGCAAGTCCAAGAAGCTATCAAACCGGTTTTCGAAGATTTATCGAAAGACGAATTATTAATTCGTTGTTTAGGAGCAGAGACACAAAACAATAACGAATCTTTGAATTCTTTGATTTGGACTTTCGGTCCTAAACATCTTCATTCTGGTCCCAAAGTTGTTGAAATTGCTAGCTACTTAGCAGTTATTATCTTTAATGAAGGTTTTCAAGGTATTTTAAAAGTTATGTCGATTATGGGATGCCCTGTTGGTCGTGAAGCCCAAGCGTATGTTGAGAAACGGGATGAAAAGCGAATCTTACGCTCTGAGCGGCGCGTAAGTGATGTCGTTAAACAAGCCAGGATTGACTCAAGAGCTGAACAATCTGCTTTAAAAGAGTTTCACGAGGAAGAGGAAGGAATACTCTATGGACCAGGCATCGCCGATTGAGAGTAAGTTGATATTTTAATAGTTTTTAACGGACTTGAAACTTTAAACGCGTTTTTCTCAAAACTGTGTTTTTCAAACTTTCCTCCATTGTATCTCAGAAACGGCTGGACCGAATTACTTGAAATTTACAGGGCACACTCAATATATGTAAACGCATGGAATGAACTATTATCAATCGAAAATTTTCAAAACTTCGATTTTTTTATAGCAAAAAACAAAAAAAAAAAACGCCTAATTTGCAACTTTTATTTCAAATGTCTATCAAAAATCCAATTTTTTTTATATTCATTTGATTATAGGTCATTCCGTGCTTTTAAGCCTACAAATTAAAACGCCGTTTTTTTTTTTTCAGATAAGCCGATCAGCCGGAATCGTGGAGGAAGTGGGAGCTCTTTTTTTCGAGGCGGGGGTGTTCAGAGCGCTGTAACTCTAGTTTGACTGAATATTTTTAGCTGAAATTTTATATTTATACTGTCCAAATATGTGTTAATAAATGATAAAAAACTTGAAGCTCTAAATATTTACTGGTCGTAGAAAAAAAATCCTAAAATATCCCTAAAAAACAGGCCGTCACATAGGAAGACCCCCTTAATATATCGTGAAAAAAAATTGAATGTGATATTGAAATTTGATAAACATGATCAATTAATCAAATTTATTTTTTTAACTTTGTAATTAATGCACCATTTAATTATATTCGCTTGCTCGCTCGAATTAATTTGCATAAGAGATAAAAGATAGAGTAAGATACTATATTATTAAGTCTATCTTCTTGATAGAATCTATTTTTATGTCAAATTTTAATAATATTCCGGTCATCCGGATATTAGAATGTTCGAAACGTCATTAAAGTCGTGAAATGGTAACACACAGGCAGACTTTAGCATTTACAATATTAAATATGCTTAGGTATGATTTATTTACTCTTTATTGCACCAGAAGTATATGATAAAGTATATATATAGAAGCAATAAAGTACAAGAAGCGGTCTTATCGCATAAGCAATCTCTTGCAGACAACCTTTGGGTAGAGGAGAAAAGACAGAATATGTAAGAGGGCGGAAGAATGGAGTATAGCAATAAAAAAGGCATAACAATACTAGATATGAATAATAATAGTTACATAAGATACATAAGAATGTTAAGTACAAAGTAATTATAATAAGTATATGTAAGATGCCTAAAATACAACGAAGGTAGCAAGTTCATCGCATAGTATAAGTTCATTGCAATCATAAATATAAATAATAATTGCTCGACGTATTGCGCCATTTTCAGAGACCATCCACCATTATCATGACGGCTGTCTGGCACATACGAGTAGCTCAACAGTCGTACACATTTGGGTCATCCCAAAGAAAACAATGCTATCTGAAATCGCTGCTTGTTTAAGCAAGTGATGCAATGATATTATCAACTAATCTCCAATATGAGGAGCTTCACATTTTGACAGTATTTTCTGTCTGTTTTGTAATTGTCTTTTTTTATAGATTAGGGACAAACGAGCTTGTTGCTCACCTGATAGTAAAACAATTCTGTTTCTTTTAGAGACATTCATGAAACCCCATTCATTTTCACGTTTTTAGCTGACAATCAGCGCTGACATAACATTAACGAGTATGTTACACAAAGTGAGCTAAATACCATTTCAGCACGGTTGAGAATTTATAAGTTAAAACTAGAATATATTTGTATTATTTTCATTTTCCTAATCGATAACGAAAATAAATTATTTTTTATTCATTTATTTAAATTTGTTTTCATTGTAATAAAGGCAAATATATAGCTAGAATCAATAAAATCCAACTATAAAATATGAGAGTTTAAATTCAATGATTAAACATCATTGTACAAATAAATGTGGAACCACATATAATGATGGGTGAGTACTGGCCTGATGAGATATTGATCTGTACTAAGTTAAGTCCCACGGAATTAATAAAAAGTAATTTTTATGCTCCGTTCAGTCCCCAGGCTCACACAATCACAATCACAATTGTTTATAAATAAAAAATGTTGATACCTGATTTTATTTAGAATATTTTGAATGAAACATAATATAAAACCTCATGAAAAAAGTATACGAATAGACACTTAATTTTATAGTGCCGATCAGCCCCAGCTTTACACGGATTCTATTATTAATATAGGTCTATTTTTAGAATATCTCATACACTATAGAAATCAGAGGCTAATGTTATTTTAAAAGAAAATAGATTTTAATACAATGCACCCGTGTGTCATTAGTGTGCAATATACCTAAGGAACATTTGACACTTACCTTTCCAAAACTGCCTTTTCCCAGCACTTTGACAAAGTGAAAGTCTTCAATGGTGTACTTGCGGAAGCGCGGTATAGAGCGGGCGGGCGGCGTGAACCGACCAGTCTTTCGGAACAACCCGTAGGCTGTTGATTGTTCTGCAATCGGTATTCAAAAATCAATAGAGAATAGTATTGATATAAATAATAACCCCGGATATAACTATATGAAGTCATGAAATGAAAAAGATTGTGTCAGGTAATTTATTCTTATTAATATTATAAACGCGGAAGTTTGTATTAAAATTAGTTCATATACATTTGGTATTTTTATGAATAGGAACATATGTAAATTAAGCAGTAGTATGTATAATATTTACTTATATCGTGAGGAAAATATTTATGAATGGGACCGAACGGACGCATATATTAAATATCATTGCAAAATAGATTAGACTGGATATTAATAACAGAGAACATATAAAAAATGATGAATTGAATTTTCTCTATATAGATTCATTCGTTCGTATATACACACATTTGTTTATAAGAACGAATTTGTAACGCGCATATAGGTACCTAAGTATATTCTCTAATATACGTCAATGTATAAAAAACAATTTTTATCTCAGAGTAATATTTGAATCGTAAATTATTGCAATGAAAAATTATAACGATTAGCATATACTGACTGCTACTGGGCTTTAGTTCTCTATTCCGCGTGCGATGAATTATTGGCACACGTGTGCTGGCATTTAGCATTTCTCATCATCGTTGCGAGACCTAGATCATCCTTTCTTTTGATATACTAACATACTTATCTAAAATCATATATAAATAAATCTCGGTAAATTGAACTATAATTTTTTATAGTATATTGCTCTGACAAATCCTTACTAATATTATAAATATAAAGTGTGTTATGATGTGGTACCATTTTTTAATCATAAAACTTATCATTTCTTGGAATTTAAAACTATATATTTTTATATTGCTCTTCTAGTTTGTTTGTGAGTTTACCTTTTAACGGCTAAACAGATCAAGATTTTATTAATATTTGACGAAGATAGATTGTAACACGAAAACGGACATATAGGTACTATCTATTATCTCAAATAAGTAAACGAAATCTAGTTGTTACGAGTATGTGATATTAGTAATAGCTTCGGTAAAATAATAACGTTATTGTTCTGTTTCATTTGAATGGTTGATAGAAATACTATGGATATCAGGACACTAACTTGGTCACGACTATAACAATACAAATTAAGTACATAAAATATAAACAAATTTCTTCAGCTATAGTATTATACTTTTTTACAGAGTAAACTTGTTTTTCATGAGTATGTATAGTCTTCAGACATAATGGCTGTTGTCTCGAACTAGAGTCATCAGTGAGGTCATCGGCTGCATAATTCAAGATCAAGTATTTACGTTTCGCCATAGTACTATGACATAATTTGCGTACAGCATGTGTGACATATTAATTCTCTTTCACCTCGGGTGAGATCGCGACCGCTAAAAATATTAGCAGCGACGAGCAATATCAAGGTTGCAATGTATAATTCGGGACTTTCTTATTACGAAAGTAGTCATGTATATATGTGTAAAATTCCATAAACAGCACGTGATACCAGAAGTGCTTTAAATAAATTGGAATGTCCAGTGATTGCATTTATTTATGAAATCATTTACATAGACACAATATATAAATTGGATGTTAATCAATTTATTCTCAACTTCCTGCCCCGACATCGCACGGACATCATAAACCTTCATCTTGAATTACTTTATCTATTGCTAAAAATTAAAATCCGTTACGTAGTTTAAAAGATCTAAGAGAACCGAGAACGGAAGTTACTTCATTTTATATTATGTATAGATAAACGTGTGAAACCTAGCTGACAAAAGTAATAACCATATCTATACTACAATACATGAACAGCAGAGAACAGTGCCCTAGAGACTAAAATATTATCCGTCAGGTCGGCCTTCAACCGATTCATTAATCCTTCCGCGGATTTGGAATACCATCACCATTTGTCCCCATTTTCGTTCTGGTCAGCTACCACTAACAATAAAAATAAAAAAAAGAACATCGCAGAATACATTATGATGCCCATGACCATTGCATTATTATTGCTGAAGACTAAATTGTCATATCTCCTTATTAATATATTGTAGCTTTATAAACCATATTCCGGTTTTGCAAGTGAGATATGGCAGGAAATTACGTGGATACATGGACGTAATTTTTCAAGAATGGCAACACATGAGAGAAATCACACGGATTACAATGTATTTGCTATTTTAGTAATATACAAAATTTATACCTATCACGTTGGTATATATACTACTGCTTATAGGTATGTATACTCTTGTATTTATTACTGGATAGATGTTATGTTATCTCTCAAGACATAGGCACATTGATTGTTGCTATTGATTGGGTTTGTTTTGTCAGCATTGAGTTTTATTATAAGCATTCTATTTATATGTAGATATATTAGTAGTAACATAAGTACTTCAGAAGCCGATATTGTCATCGAAATGAGCCAAATGATGCCGTATATTAATGTTGACGCAGATTGTTAGATTGTCATTGTACTTACGAGAATAATATATTTTTATTATTGTAATAAATGAATGTATCTTTATTTTTTAAAGGGAAGGTTTCTTGATTTATTCTTCATACTTATTACATCCTTAGAAGTTTGCTCCTATATATTTATAGTCCTTTTGATTTATAACAGTTTAGAAAAGAACTTTGCAAAAGATAACATGATGATAAGAACATTGTAAAAGATAACAAGCTTCTATTACCATAGGATAACGTTTAAAGAAAAATAATTTAATTGAGAGTGAAGACTTTACGTATATTTTTGGGGATTATTGGAATTAGATTCCGTGAGATTCCGTGCGGGGCGATGACATATGGAAGTGCTAGTAAATATATTACCTGTATGCTTGTAAACAATTTCTATGAGGTTGCCTGTACATAAAGTAATAATTTGATAAGAATAAAACCTCATAATGAAAAAATAACACCAAACATTGAACTGCCTTATTCTAAATTTGTCTTACTACTTTCATGAAGGAGTTTCGACGTAATTTTAAAAACAAATTAATTTCAATTGAAAATATTTTTTATTTTTGCAATATTTTCGTACCAAAACATTGCTTCTTGTTGTCCATTTGATCTAAGGTCATTTAATTACCGTATACACGTTTGTTACTATTGCTTGTCTATAGATATAAATTCAATATTAATAGTTCAATATGTTGATCGTTAGTAATCAATACCTGTTGACAAATCGCAGTCAATTTCTCGAATAAGTATATAATTAATATATTTGTCAATAAAATATGTCTGCAGGTGTTTGAGGCAACTATGTTTCTTCAATCGTGTAGACTGGGACTGCCATAATACTTTAATTACAATGTATGGAGTTTTAAGTGCAATTCAATCTGAATTGTACGACTATCTGCCATTGCTGTACTTTGAACTTTACTTTACAATAAAGTGTCAAATTTAATTTAAATCTCTTCAAGACGTTTGTCTTATAAAGACCTTTGTTTAAAGGTCTTTATAATTTTTACATAATATAACATTAACTGTTATATGGAACTTCGCCTGCTTTTTTTAGATACACGATATGCCTAGCCCACGTTCTTTAAAACAATAATTTAATACTACTCTAGACCTATAAAAGTTAAAGATTTATCAAATCTGATGGTACTTCGTACTTTCTGATATTAACTAGAAACCAGTCAGCTTTATATATAGCTTCAGATTTATAGATAGTTATTGTATAGTAACTATCAACTGATTTAAAATATTGTAGAGAACCCTGACTCGTTTAAATATACATCTAGACATGTGTTGTTTTTACATGATCTTACCCAAGACATTCAACATAACGACTGTATCTAACAGCACATCACGGAAGTGTATAAAAATAAAGTAATAATTTGTATAGTGACTATATTATACTGCCCTGAGAATGCGGAATCCTATACTCTGAAGTGGAACACGAAACGCGAGGCACAGCACACCAGCGCTTTCGATGAAAGTCCTGACTAGCTATGTTATTTATAAACGCTTTCGAAATACAATTTGCTTTTTGCCAATTGTGTCAAGAATTATTGCGATTTATTATTGTGAACTAAAAATGTTTCTATAAATAGAATTTATTGAGTAGCGTGTTTGTTATTCAAGCAATTGAAACTTAAAGATTGTAAAATAATCTCATACCTTCATAGTTTCTAGATACATCAGAGAAAGTGAAAACAATATATTTAAAAAATATATTCGTTTAGCACTCAAGTTAATAATATAAGATGAAAATGATGAAGTTATGCAAACTAAGTGTGCGTGTTAGTGGCAGCAAGCAGTACCAAATTTACATCAAACTATTCGTTATAAATATAATCCCACTATGTCATATCATTATAATCATGACTATGTACAAACCATTATTATGCCAATGCTAGTTTTCTCAGTGAGAAGAATTAAACCTACTGTTACCCGACTCACCTCTGAGCGATAAATGATATATGATTTCCTTTAAAGTAGGATTAGTTTCTTACACCAATTCATTTGAGTTTCTTTGTTATGAGATGAGATGGAGAAGTAGCGATGACGTTGTATCTTTACTTTGTTACCAAAGGTACATATTTATTCAGAACATTTTATTCCATGTAAATGAAAATACAGTATAGGTAGTATAAGTGTCTGAGAAATAATAGTATTGTAATATGTATTATTGTACTTTATATTATTATGGACGAATATACTTTATTCGTTCAATTATAATATTCAGTTCGGTTTTATAATTTAGTAAAAAAATGTTACAAAACGGGCAATACTCTCGAAAGGTAATTAGAATCAGTCATGTACATACTTATAATTAACAGACGTTTCTACTGCTAATTATTATTCACTATTTTCACAATTACAATTAATGTGTGCTTACAAAACATTACAATATCTACCAGACTTTTTCAGACTCGTTCTTACCAAGTTCTTGTTCCAATAAATCGTGGGTATCGCCTTGCGTTGGCGCACCCGTAGATGTCCCAGGACTGTCACCACCTGCATACATAACTAATAGTAATATGTTCTCTAATAGCGAATACAGGTATAAAATTCATCAAATTAATTAACAATTTCAATACTTCATATGCACTTGGCATATTAATTGTTCAAATAAAATTGTAATTTATTAAGCAACATAGTTTTTTTATGTATGTTTGTTTTCCACATAAGAAATTTCAATATCTTTCTTATTTTAATTTCTGACTTAGTGGTACAGTAACATTTCTTTAATAGTTTTTGGTGTGTGTCTAAATAGTTTTCATTTATAAGAAACTGATCTAGAACTGGGTAGATATATAGCTTTATTGTAAAACTTTTCAATGACTTCAGGGACATTTGCATAAAAATAAATTTAGTCAGTGAATCATTAGTTGAAATAGGTAGCGATTGTATCGGAAATAAAAACGTATGTCGATTGAAATATAGCCAAACATCTACTCGATTAGATTTTATTAAAATAGTACTATCGATCAATTCATCACATGGTTGGCATCAATCACATAAAACAATATATTATTGTAGTTCAGATGATAAAATTGAATTAAAATTATCTTATAGTTTACCGTCTAACCGAAAGTAACGTCTAATAAAATCTTGTAAATAGATTTTAGTTACAATCTTAATTCAATATTTTAAGATCCTACATGCAAAATATTTTCCAATATCACACTCGATAATTACTAGATTAAATGTATTTTCTTTTATAAATAAGGATACAAATAATGAAAAAGATGTCACGTGCTATGAAAGCAGATAATAGACAACCTGAAAAAAATTGTCATTCAAAGCCAATTCAGATAAAAGACGAGAATCATTCTCGTAAATTCATGTATTTATAAGAAGTCACCGACCTACATTGTCAGCTACCGATTGTATGTCACCCTCTGTTTACGAAGATGTACCCTATACCTTGCTGCAGCATTGTAACGGTTGTGTTCCTATTAATTTTGTACAGGTGAGACGAGTAATTGGCTTATATCCAAACAATAGCAACCGCATCGTACTCCCACACAACATGTAGTCTTAGACATAAACAAATATCCGTACAATTCAATATTAGTAATATGTCTATGTCCCTTCTATCTATTATAGCCAATGAACTTTTTGTTTTGATAATGTTTATTAGGTAAGGAAAAGTTCATTGGCAAGTCATAAAATACCCATGTATTATAAGGTTTATTGTTATCAGTTAGCTTTATCTAGCAGTCGATATTATTTTAGCCTTTTATATATTTCTCTATGTATTTTGTTTTTGATGCGCGCAATAATTATAATTTTGACGACTGATGCCAATAACCACATTTTTGTAAAATAATTTTTAATTGTTTTTTAAATTAAGTTAGACTGGGACTCAGTTTTTTTAGTAGTTTTAAGTATAATATTTTTTATTAAACTGTTGAAACGTTACTTATCATATTGAATATTTTTACACGTGCATCTAATAATAACCATTACAGACGATAGCTAGCCAATAAAACATAGCTTTATTTTGAGCGGGACGACTGACGTAGCAGTGACGCTCGTCTTTATTAACAAAATCGTTCAAGAAATAATATTGACTTCAACGATTTTGAAAATTTGAACTCTTGGACTACGTTATCACCCACCTCGTTTAGACGCAGGGCGCGAAGCTAATGCTTCCACGAGAAGTCGCTGATTCACTCCGCATAAGTTAGCGGTAAGTTTTTCACACTTTCGATGGCAGTTTACATCACAGTCTAAAACAAAGTAATAACATATCGCCTAGCTAAAACTTTTGAAAATTGATCTTCCGGAATTTGCTGTTAAGCCGTGCAAAAGCAAGCGTGCATACGAAAAAAATACGAATTACATACAAGTGCAGATGACTACGTACCTAAGGTTCTTATGTGAGAGTAATATAATGTTCCACACGTGTTTCGTGTTGTGTTTATTAAGATTAATAAAATATTATATATGATTACCTTTTTTGATTTGAACGAATCCAGCGGGCGAGGTTGGAGCTGATGAATCAAATCCAGAATCATTGGAACCAGTAGAAGTTCTACCATCTGGATTATTTTCACATTCGAAAAATTCCGTAGAACCTGCACTTGTGTCTGATTCTTCTGAGTCCTCGTCATCTTCATCTTCGTCTGATGAATCTTCATCCGAAGAAGTGTCAGAAGAACTAGAAGATTGGATTACTTGCGGTACTTTCTTTTGAAGAGGTCGTGGGGTAGCTATTAATGGCTTTAGGGCTGGCTCATCCTTTACGGGTTTTTTACGAATCGGATTTTGTGGTAATTTTACAACATCTTTTGAAGATGGGTTCCTAGTATCCATTTGTTGTACATTTGTGTCAGAACTATTTTCAGCCCTGATATCCTCTTTTGTCTTTATCACTTCTGAATTGAATAGCAGTTTATTTTCTTTTGGAATGTTATCTGGTTCTGAGCTTTCGGTTTCAACAGAAATATTTTCAGGTTTTACGTTCAGATTTGCGTCATTTGTATTTTGACCGATTGAAATGTCCACAGTTTTTGTGATACTGTTATCAATATCTTTATCAGAAATGTTATTGGTCTTATTATTTTGATCAGAAGAAGTGACATTATTCGACATTTCATTAATACCTTTTATTATTTGAATATCTTTGGATTCAGCGTTCTTTATTGATTTATTATCTTTTTTATCACTTGGTTTAGGAGTACAGCTTTCTTTAATTTTCATTTTTATGTTCTTTTCTGTATCTATTTTCTTTATTTCTGGACTGTCTAACTTTTTTACGAAATTATTTATTTTATTAACATTTGGAATAATATCTGATACTTTCTTCTTTGTTTCATTTTGTTTATTCGATATAGAGTCATTATTTGTTGTTTCTTTTGCCTTAATAGGAGTAAGTGTATTTTTTGTTTTCAGTATATTATCTTGTTTATCCTCTACATTTTCACTTGTTTTGTGTTCAGTCAAATTATCTTTTACCTTTTGTTCGGTTACTGTTATGTAATTTTCAGATGTTACTTCTGACTTTTTGTTTAAAAATATTCCTTTGTCAGATTTCTTGCTACTTCTTTTAATTTTTTCTGATACAGTTTCGTCTACGTTTATATTATCAATTTCCCGTTGTTTATGAGACTTTTTCGAATCCAATATTATACTTATATTGTTAGGTTCATTGGCATTTTCCGAAGTAATAATTTTTGTATTCATAATGTTTGGTACTATTTTTTGTTCTTGCGTTCTTGTATATTCCTCAGATTGTGGTTTTTCTTTCAAATCAGTTGTCTCTACTTTACTATTCTGTGATGTAATTGTATCAACATTTTTAATTTCGTTAGAAAGTAACGGTTCAATTTTCATATTATTTTCAATATTATTATGACTTGCGGTGCTTTTTGTCCTATCCGAAATTTTAATTATATCTTCTTTAACATCTTCACATTTTATTGAATTACGGTTAAGAGAATTGGATTTTGTACAATTACTAATCGCATCGTTATCTATAGGTATAATATTTTTATTAAGCAATTCATTTATTTTTGAAACTGATTCTGAAGTCAATGATATATAATCTTCTTTATTTTCAGTCTTTTCTTTATTATCAACGATTTTATTTGGATTTATATTTACTTCAGCGGATATAATACTTTGATTATTTGGATTTGCATCAATCAATTGAAAAGATGCAGATGAGACGGACTCTCTTTTTGTCACTGCTAAATTTGAATCAGAAGAAACATCTTCGTTATTAAAGCAGCCTTCATTTTTTTGTTCTTTATCACTTACAATATCATCCTCTATATCTTCCTCGGGATACCAAAATAATGCTCTTCTATGCTTTTCTTTGCTTTCTTCAATATTTTGTTTTCTTTTTAATAAATAGACAGTTTCTCTCTTTCCAATTTTATTCCAAAAATTACAATCATCCGGCTCAGGTGATTCTGGAATACCACTATTTTTTACATTTATACCATTAGTAGGTATTTTTTTAGTCATATATTCGGATGTTGTAGGTTCTATATCTACAGCGCTACTGAACATTATTTCTTTTTTAGGTGAACGGGGTTTTTCTTCAATTGTGACATTTTCTACTTTAAATTTCAAGGGACTAGTTGGAGCCGAAACTTCTACAGATGACGTAATTTTAGCTTTTAGTTTCGGTTTTAATTCAGCAGTCTCGCGTTTTATCGACAATTTTCTACTTTCATCTATTGCAGGTAAATCTTTAAGTATTTGTTCTTTAGGAAATTCAGTAATAGAATGTAATCTACAAATATTGCTCCCAGAAGACGATTTTTTTATGCTTCGTCGCTTCGTCAACTGTTTATTATCATTGTGATCTTTCAATGATCGCAAATTATTGTGTAATGAATGATCTGATTTCGTTGTTTTTAGTGGGTTTTTTGTGTCATGAATTTTTTTTCTTTTTATAGATTGAATGGCATCTAATGCATTTTTTGAATCATCTTCAATTCCTACTTTTGTCAAATCTAATGTCGCTGTACTTAGATTTTCTCCTCTAATTAATGTATCAAATAAATCTGCTTGCTCAGCTAATAATTCCATTGAGCATCTTCTGTCCGCTGGATATTTCGTTGCAATACATCCTATACTTTGAGATGCCACTTCAGATAAACTTTGTATATTGTCCTGTACTTGTGGTTTTTGAATGAAACTATCACAGTTATCTTTATCTTTTAGTTTAAATTTTTCTACTAATTTCGTTCCTAGAGTTTTCTTTTCAATAATTTTTCCTTTGTATATAAGATCCTCAGATAATTTTTCTCTCCACTTTAAAGATTCACCAGAATCATCGTTAGTAATCTCTTCTTCATTATTAGTCTTAGGCTCCTCCGTACTTACTGGCTTACGAGGCGAGTCTCTCTCCTTTCTTTTCACAGTATGAAGTCTCACAACTGTTCTTCCACGTTTTATTGTACTTCTTTTATTCCCCGGTGATGAATCAATACCTGTTTCAGGTTTTCCGTCAACTCGTGGCATAAATGGGCTACTATCTTTATCATCGTTCGAGATATCTCTGATTGGAGATACCGTAGGCGATGGACTTTTCCTTTTATTACAGTATTTATCCCTTGACACATCAATGTCAGCCGTGTTTATGTTAATAGGACGCGATGTATAGTTAGATGTCCCATAAGTCCTCGTCATGATGGGTATTCGTCTCGGACTATTGATCCTAACTGGACTGGATGTTCCTCTTTCCGATATAGTACTAAGCATAGGCGAGTAGCTTCTGCCAGAGGAAGTGATCCATCTCGTAGTAAGTGGTATTCGAGAGTATCCGCCGAGCGAGGAATGAGTACTGTAACTAGATCCAGGATTGAGATACGGGGCACTGTACGACGATCCAAGTGATGCACTGTGACCGTAAGGCGAACTGGTGTAAGAAGGTGAACCACCGTAATACATGTTCGAAATGTGCTCGGAATATAGAGGCATAGTGACGTATGTTGCGCGAGCGCCGCGACAATTACCGCATCCCGCACGGATTCGCGCGCAGACTGACAAGAGTCGCTGCCGGACGAGGCGACCGCGCATCAGGTACGCCCCGCCCACCGCGGCCGCCCAACGCCGCCCGTCGTCTCACCGCATGCCAGGTGATTGATTAATGATGTTATGCGAACAATAATAACTACGTGACTGTTCCTATGTTTTCGGAAGGAAATTTTCATACTTGTTTTGACCTATTGTTCAACATTAGGTAGTTTTCATTTTTACATACTAGTATTTGTCAGATGACAGGTTTCGTTTTAATAATTCGACAATAGAAATTCATGTAAACAATAAACACTTTTGTAAAAATATAAAGACGAAACAATCGTAATGACTTAATCACGTGTCAATTTTATTGTTTTGCTGAAGTCAATATAATAAAAATATACCAATAGAGTTTCTTGTTCTTTTCAACTGAAGTAGCTACTCAAACTGAAGGAATAAAGATAAAAAAAAGAATTGTATATGTGGCAGAAAATACCCTAATTAAATAAATGCTTTGACTTTGACTTTGATCTGTTACTCTTATATACATATGATTTAAAGTTGATCGATCCTTACTATATGCTATTTTGTAAACTATTTTATAACCTAATGAAGATGCAACTAGTCTCTATAGAATATTCTAAGACGTTCAAATCAAATCAAATCATTTATTTTCAGAATATTTAATATTGTGTCTATTATAAACAATATAATTAAGCAAGTGTATACTGTATAGTATTTACGTGAATTATTGATAGTTACACTGCTGTCAAGGAGTAAAAATTAGTTATTATATTTTCTTATGATGTTCAAAATATTAAAAGTTCTTTGCTGATGTAATTGTTTACGATCTCTATGTTTGTTATTTGTTTATTTGCTGACGAATACAATGTATAATATCTACAAACTATATATTGGAGCACTCTGTAGAAACACCTCTATTGCGTATCTGAAGACAATGAATGATGGATCAGGATATACACTTAAAAAAGGGTAACTTGCCCCTGTCTATTTTTTGGTCTACTAAGTTTAGCTACCATGTGTTTTCCTCGTCTACTGTCACCTGGCAGTTATAAAGCTATATAGTATCCATTTATCGTTTCTTTGGGCTTTTCTTCGCGTTGCACCTTTTGCTTACGTTACCTTATATTCAATATCTAAAACAGTACAACAATATATCAGTTGACTTTCTTACCAACTTTTCTCAAATCGACCGAACGAACTGAACTGTACCAGTTAGTTAAAAACATTAGGTAATAAATAATTGTTTTGTGTAACTTTATAACATGGATTTCGTTCCTTGTCATAAAATTGCGACACAGAACACTAATTTTAAAAATAATGAAAGTAAAAATATGCAGGTGAGTAATGTAACTATTAATAAATTGTATTCATCATTCCTTTGTATTTGTTCCGCACAGAAATGACGGATGTGGGAGTGATACATATCATCAGTTTTACAAAAATAATATTGTATAGGTACTTTGTACATAATACCTACTTGAATATAAAACAAAGTTTTACGGATGAGAAACATTCTTTTATTTAAAAAGCCATGTTTAGTTAATTTAAATATCTAAAATTTATTAAAATATCTAATAAGTATAAAAATAAAGTAAGTAATATATATTTATTGTACAAATTGCTTAAATATTGAAGGTCATATTTAATATTTTTCACATTTCTAAAAGCAGATATTTTTAAATTTTATTTTACAAACAGATAAAAAATTCTGTAAAAGAACATACATGTTTTCATTTTTTATTAACGCGAAAGTATTATAAATGATTGAAAATTGTGACTCATTCAAGCGAACTAAATCGAACGTTCAACACAAAAGTTATAAAAAATATTTATAAACGTCAAATTTGATAAACGTCAAATTTGATGCCGACAAAGTAGCATAGGTCAGCTAGTAATAGTATACTCGTATGTCAGTAAATTTTATGGTGAGAATCGCAACAGTAAACATTCATTTCATCTGACAGCATTTTTGTCTGTGAACCATGTGTAGCACAGAGATATATTACTCTTTTTGTTATAGGATGCAACTATCAGTACCTATCGCTGTATACCATAGTATTTTTTTTTTTGTGTATGATAATGGAATGGTGCACCCGCCTGCGCTAACGGTTTACGCTGGCAGGGCACCAGTGGAAGATGACAAGATGAGCATGAGGTCAGGTCAGTTTGTCCATCGTGGCAAATTCACCAAGATATGGTATCTTATTAGAGTATTCAGTTAGATACAATAATATTATAAACAGAAAAATGCGTTTCTTTGTCATCTTTTGGCGCCTTACACATCAATCCTGTTTGGGATAGATACACATTAGTACTTATGTTGGAAAAACGCCTATACTCATTGTCTTCGTCAATTAATACAATATCCGTAACAGAAGAAATAATCCCGATAAAAATTAATATATTCGGTAATTTAAACTGAAACAGGCTGAGATTGCATTGTTATAAAAACATTCTTGTTCGTCTTTCTGCTTCATACGTCGGAGTTCCATGGTATCATATTACTGTGTTGACGTCATATCAATCCAATCCTGACGGGGTCATGTGTGAGTAGATGAAGAGTTGCTGTGGACACCATCCTATTCCAAATACTAGGTACTGAACACTGAATACTTACTACTTGTCGACATAAATTCAACAGGCATGAACAGTTTTTATAGTGTAATACTTGTTTCTTTTAACGTCTACTACTTAAATTCTATCGCGTATATATGATCCTGTGAATTCTGAGAACATTATAGAATTAGAGAAAAGTTCTCTAATTCCATAATGTTCTAATTCTCTAATTTCATAAGTCCTATGGTCGACGCAATCAAACGCTTTTGAGAGATCATATTTGATATCTATGTAATATATACACAGTACTATTTTATATTGCCTTTACTATTTATAGTATACAATACTGTACATAAATATATAGTTAGGTTTTAGGCCAGAATATGCTGGACCGGTGGTCGATCATTACATTTCTATATTGTTAGGTAAACAAGTCTAACTCGATAGTAGAAAAATCCCATTGGCATGAAACAATTTTAAAACATACAATACATATTATAAACATATAGACATTATAAAAAAACACTACATAATTATAATTAATATATATATAACGCAATACATCTAAAGTACCTCATGTCATTCGCAACTGTGTTCTATTTCCCAGTCGCCATAAAACTTTGGCTCCACTTTCTCGGGCATACAGATAGCGGTCAATAAAATATTTTATTTTCCATTAAATTATGTTAAGACCCAATAAACTGCATTAATACATTGTTATCCAGATTAGAATAGATATACGTATTACTTTCTAGAAATGTCAGATTACTAGGTAAAAGGTTTAAAATGTAATTGCAAAAATATACTACATAATAATAAAGACAAGATTATATTACCAGCATTTACCTAAGAAAGTACATATTGAAACTGCCACTTGTTTTATCTTTAAACACGCAAAAGTATTCAATAGTGTGAATATGGTTGAATTGATGATGTAACTGTAGCAAGTTTTCTGTGATATGTATGTTTTAATTGTGTACATATTGTAAATTGTTAAACAAATGAGATAGGTACGTTCTATCTTATTTGTTTAACAGGTTAATGAATATTGTGCCCTAACATTTATTGTGTATTCATTTTCATTATATGAACAATCATCGAATATCTTGCAACTATATAAACATATTTTAATTTAGATAGTTAATGAAAAGTGAGTCAAGCAATTATAAATCTGGTGCAGGGTTAATTGTAATGGTTATTATGTCAAAAGCTAGATAAAAACTCACAAAATTTTACCACTTTCAACAAGAAAAAATTAAAAACTTTAAAAATCATATTAATCTTTTCAAAATAAAGAGACTGCGCAGTTTTTTTAATCTCTTTATTCCCATCCGTCCGGCAGAAGTTTTGCCTTCAGCCGCTCCATGTGTCCTAAAGCGATTTTAGAATGCCGTCTACACTCAGTCCTAAGGCCAGCTATAAAGGCCAGCTGTGGCCAACAGTATTAGAATAGTAAAAAAAAAAGCTCCATTTATTACTTTGGCATACACTAAGTCATTTAAAACTGTCATACTAACTTCATCCTTTGTTCTTGCAGAATCGATGTTCAGCATTAGGAATACCATCACTGATTTTCATTTTTACGACTAACCCTGTACAGAAACATAAGGAAAATGGACTATGGTCCATTTTCCTCATTTCAAATTAGTCACTGGTTTCAGAGAAAATTACAAACAACTGGAATACAAATCATGCAATATAAAAAAAATCAAGGATCTTTATAGTTATACAGTGTATATAAACTGAATATTTACTATGATAATATTCTTTAAAAGCTTCCGATGTTTCGATTCAGTTACGAACGTCATGGTACGGTTCAACTGGACATGGTGGTGAATATAAACAATTCAAGCTCACCAGATCTCATCAAAGTTTCCAGGACGGGAATCCAATGTTAGGTACAGTTAAAAATAAGTTTAATGAGCTAGATATGGTTTAAAAGTTCGAAGTGTTATAGTCAGTTTTTTCACGTGACTATCACGTGTTTTCCAGTGGTAAGTGTAATGACGGTAAGAAAAGACAGAATGAACGGAGCGGTTACATAGATTTGTCTGATCTAAATAGTCCATCTCCAGACCACCTGTGATCCGGACTTTTCTACCAGCGTCGAAATATCGGGAGCTCTTAAATAGTATTATAATTTTTTTTTTATTATTGTAAATATCCCGTTTATATAATGTGTACAAATCATGCAATATCTAAATACCTACTGTGAATATTATAAAATATATTTTGTCTATGCAAATATTAATTACAGCGATTGCGAAGCCTTAACTAGAGTCAAGATCAATGTTAAATTACTACTTATTTGTATCAATTTTCTATTCAATTGTAAATTAATGTTTATAGATTAAATTACAATTGAATAGAAAATTGATAACTAGTAAAACGTTATTGCCAATTATTTGCAATTTAATTTTTGCTATATATTTTTATAAGTTAAGTATTAATAGTTTGGTACCTTCACACTTCAAGCCTTGTTTGAAAAATCCGTAGAGTAGTGCGCCGCAGTGATCACAGAAAGTGGGTGACATGAACTGGTGAGGGCGGAATCTGTGAGGCACGTCCACTTTGAACCTCTCCCGTAAGTACTGACAACAATGCAAATAATACAAACACATTTCTAGATATGTATGCAATGATAGGTGGCTCATCCGTCATACTCGGGAATGGGTGCTGCTTATGGGGACTGGTCTATTCGGGTTACGAACACTGATTACCTAGACTATTTGCTTTTGCAGTAAAGTAATTCACCATTTATTTGAAAAGAATACGAGAAGAGTTTCTTGTCAGTTCTTCTCATCTCAAAATAATCCCGAACTGACGATATCTATATATATACATATATGTTGTATATCCTGATCCTGATGAGAGTGTGTAATAGACCTACATGAATAATAATGTTTTAAATTTGAAAATATAAATTTGTATTTACTAAAAATAAATATTATCAGACATGTACTTACCGAGACATATGCCTTATAATAGTATATTAACATTGAACATATTATTATTTATATATTGTTTTCACTCAAAAAAATTATTTATTTATTTTATTATTGCAAAAGAGTATGGTAAGAAGTTTTCTCTTTATATGAGAGTATTGTTTGAAGGGATAGAATGGACTATGTGAAAGATGATATGGTGAGAAAGGGATTACTCTCTTTCTCACCATATAATATATAATAATATAACGAGATGACTGCGAACAGACATGAATGGAAGAGAAAAACATATTACGCCGACCACAAATAAATGGGATAAGGAAGAAGCAGATGATGATTGTTTGAAGGGATAGATACGGAAGTAAAATCATAGAGTAAAAAGGAAAGACACAAAGAGTCCTCAGGTATGATAACCCATAGTACCACGGGATTTAATAAACAAGGTATTCTCCGTGGTACTCATTAAAATAGTCAGTAGTTACTATTTCCACCTGGGTAGTCTTAAGCTTGTTAGCCATTAATTCATACATAAAAAAGTAACAAGTTTCTCACCACTCACCACAGTGGACTCCGAATGAGCTGGCGACCCTGGACATTTTCCAAGCAGTTTGTTGTGGCATCGCTTGTGCACAGCCGTCTGGCACACCGCACATCTGTATCCCTGCTTCCCGAAGCCCCAAAGGAACTCTTTGCAGAAAGCACAGAATGTTGGCTGGCGGAAAAACTTCGCCACGAATCGGTGTCCGTTCACTTCGTGTTCTCTGAAACACGAAAGGATAATATGTACCTCTTGCAAATTGAAAGATATTATTTTTAGTGGAGTAGTATTATTTCTCCTGGGGATTAAATTAAAAAAAATATTATAATTTTCTTGTTTTTTATACTCATATACTCGTAGATTGAGTGTGCCATCTGGGGATCTTCCCTTTTATACTCTCACGGGACGCCACAGCTTATTTCTTATTAGATTACAATACTAAATATACTATATAATAACTACAAAAGTTAATGATATCAATTACTTTTTTTAATTTTCCCTTATTTTTTGTAGGTAGGTATATTTATTTAAATGAAAACAGTAGATATTAAAATACTGCGAAAATGAAACACACAGAAATAAAACGTTCTTTTTCACAACAGTTTTTCTTCTAATTAAATATATACTATTATTTTTATCTAAATAGAAAACCCTATAAATATAAATTTACAAAACTACAATAGCATAACTTTGTAGTTAGGGATAAAATATTGTATTTCTTTCGCTAACATTCATAATTAGTGTAAATTTGCAATTACAATAGTATAGATAGCACTAAACTAAATTATATATATATAATATTATAAATTCAAAGTCTATCAGTCTGTCTCAAATTTGACGTAAAGGATATATTATTATTTTTTATAAAAAAAACCAAAGATGTATGACGAGTACATACATCTTTGTAAAGAATATATATATAGATAAGTTAACAAGGAATGAAGCATTTCGTTTTATATAGAAAATCCAAAATTCATGTTACACAACAGCAATTAGTAAAATACATGTTTTGTTCTGTAATATCAAAGATTCGCTGCTAATATCAAAGAAAGCTAACTACACTCGCTTTTAAGAAAGAATCCAATACTTTTCATAGACAATTAGGTAATTAAAAACGAGTAAACGTATGTAGGTGAGTCCATATTGTGACGTTCCAAGGATTCGGAGCCAAGAATTCGAAACACGAGAATGCATGCAAGTACACAATACACATGTGGAGGCGTGAACGACATGACGTAGTAGAAAGATTGTAATTAGGTACCTTTTTTTAATTGTGTCGGTATCATGTACTTCAATACCTTGTAATAAAGTTCTAAATTAATGTACTGATGAAGCTTTAAGATACATGTTCAACAATAGAACGGTAGCCTGTTGTTATGTTGATGATGTATTTTATGTGTGTTACCGAGGTAATTTTTTTATAAAACTATTTGCAATAGTAATAGGATTGTAATTACCTAGTGTTTAATAGAGAATACTTTGAATTGCAATATAATTTTAAAGCCATAAAATAAAGTTCTAAATGAACTATCTAATCTACTAATGAAACTATGAGATTCGTGTTCAACAATAGATCTATTGTATGTTTGCCACTTGCAAGGATACTGTCTCACCTATTCCAGCCGTTCGCTTTGTTACCTACGTTTCCGGTTGAAAACTGTAATTACCTACTGAGTATGGCAAGATATGATATAAGGCATGACCATGAGAAAAATACTAATAAAATATTACGTGATTTATGGACCACCCATAAACAAAAGCCCTAGACATATAATAAACATTGTTATGTAACTCCTGTGATATAATGCGGTAGCTTGTAAAGGTGTATCACAATAATCTGTAATTTCGCCTCTATATTGCACGCTTCAAACTGACAAATTACAAAGCAGCTTGCATACATTAATATTTAAGATGGTACACGGTTATCATAGCCTATGGACGCCTAAAACTCCAGGGGGCGTCACTACGCGTTTCCCACCCATAACAAGTCTTAATATATCATACTTGAAAAACCCCATGGAAGTATTTGCGCATACGACTTGGTTCGGTATACATTATTATATATATTTATCAATAATAATAAATATTAATATACCTGGATGGATGGATACTAACTTATTGTGTTTGATGGCTCCTCGCCGCTGAGTGATACGCTTCCCGCGGGACCGGCGCACTTCCTCGCCGGCCTCACTGCAGCCACCGCCCGGCAACCACTGGAATGAACCGAAACAACATTTGCATCATCTGATAAGATACAATAACAAACTTGATTATATAAAAAATATTATACAGCCAAACTAATGTTATAAATGCGAAAGCGTACTTGTCTGCTTCTAAGCCTTTCACGACTAAATGGATTTTATGAAATTTGTATCGATCTAAATACAAATTTCATATACAATATATGTCCTACTAGCTTCACTCATCAGAAATCTATAGCCTAAGTGTTATTCTGATACATAAGCTATATTGTTGTGAAGTTTCTTTACAATTCATTCATTATTTTACCCCAAATAAGTAGATATCTCAGAGGGTAACAGCTAGTGTATAATACTAATCTTTATATGGATAGCTTGACCAACGGTCAACTGTCGACGTAGTGGTAAACGCAACATTTGATTTTCTCTCTCGCTCGGTACGAGTATATATAAATCCAACACAACAGAGGGTGAGCCTATTTCAGATTAGTAGTTGTTTCCATCATCGGGGAGTCAGTCATAAATAGTTACAGAAAGTTTATAGTATTTGCCAGATTCGAAATCATGTCGCTGGATTGAAGTTAAGGCTTTCCTATTTTATAAACCACGTAAAAATTAGAAGGTTGAATATTTTAATTGTGCCACAGTATAACAATACTGTACCTATAGCCATTTATTTAATAGTTACATAGTTTTTGCCATAAATAACGCCGGGATTTGGTTTAGTGTAGTATATTTACGACTATTCCTGTATATTATACAAAAACACATTGTATATAATACTTATTACCACAGATAACATAATATTACATATTATTACTAACGGTACAAGAGAGTACACGAGTAGATGAATGTTTGATATGTACGCGAGTATTTATTTATATTTCTGTAATTCGTAAAGAAATTCGTGTAGTAGTTGTAAGAAAACAAATAGGATACAGAAATGCATACTGGTTATTTAAATTATTACTTTTTTTGTAATAAACAAATCCGAATGATTTTATATCGTCTTCATCATCTAAGTACTTGTATGTTTGTAAAGACTAATTACGATCAGTTGATAAATTGCCAATAATTTAAAGTCACATTGGACATTGCGAAACAAATATTAAATGCATTTAAAACCAAATGTAATAATAACCAATTAAATACTACCCAGTGATATTCTAGTGATGTACCAAAAAACACTTCAAAGTGTAAATCTTACTAATATTATAAACGCGGAAATTTGTGAGTGTGGATGAATGGATGGATGAATGTTTGTTAACCTTTCGCACCAAAAATAGTGATAAATTTTAATGAAATTATACAAAAAAAAAATTTGAAATTTAAAGAAGGTGAAACAGCTAGTTTTAAACTAGGTAATATATGGCTGGACAAATCACACAGCGCCATCTAGTTCGAAGCTAAAATAATTATGTTATGGTACTAAACAACTGATAGAAATCCCAACATACATATACATAATACACTATGAAAAAACCCCGACCAAAACAAACAATCATAATCATTCATTCAAATGTCTGTACTGTGAACCGAACCCGCTATCATAGGATATGAGGCCTCGTGCTAAATCTTTAGACCGCCGAGGACGACAAAAATTAGATGTAGGTAGGTACAAGTTCCCTTATATCTGTTTGCAGATCACTCTATCTATTCATTTTGTGCTAGCCAATCGTCGTGTTTGTCTGATACCTACAGCTTCTTGCAATTTCATCATTTATAAATAATTATTCGCTGTAGGTATATACAACAAACGCCTAATTCTGTACAAACTTCAAAATTGTATGTACATATTCGCAACGCTCCATGAAATTACAAATTGGACATACCCAGAACCACGTTGACATCGTTCCACACTGATGTCGCAATTTAGACACATCGCCAACTCGCGCGTCACACACAGACGAACATGGATAAAAATTATGTAGCCAATAACATCGTTTCAAGTACTAATGTAGCACCCTTTCAGCTGAAGGGACGCTACTAGATGCATCGGCATTCGTATAGAAAGCGTCGTTGCTCCAAGGTCTATTTTGTGAATTCTCTGGCATAGATCCGGGTGATTACGACTTTGAATTATAGCGTATTTGTCAGATGACCAAAATTGAGAATTTGCTTGTCATAATAACAGCACGCGAGTAGAACATCACATGTGAATGATGATTCAGAAAGATTTCCTAAATATTAGACCGTTTTCATTTGAACATTTTTTATCATATGTATGGAATGACAGGTACTTATACTATATACCACCTAAAGGAAAATAGTAATGAAACCTCACAACTCCTGTGTGTCAACATTTCCGAGGAGATATCCTCTTATGGGGAAAGACGTGCCCTTTCCACAATGGGGTGTTAATGCAATGGGTTATAAAGCAAAATAGAACTAAAGTACTATCCCTTTGTTTCCTACTATATTAGTAAACCATTTGGCAATTGAATCAGATGATGATTTTTTACAAAGTCGCTCTCATTATTTTACGGAATATACAAATATTTTTCGCGTCAAGATCACAAGAATATGATAGCTTTTGTAAAGTAGAAATAATTGTCTACTAAATTTACAAAATATTTTGTGGGTAAATAATTTTTTAAAATAAGTAGGTAGCTGCTAGTCTAGCTCTATACAAACTATGTTTTATAGCTCTAATAATGAACGGCATGTTTAGGTTCCGGTTTATAGCCACTTGTATCAATCAGTTCCCAGTGGAACTTTGTCGGTTCATAAAAACATTTTCGTTACCTCGTAAATCGGTATGCTTATTGACCTGCTTGTTATATTTACAAACATATCGTCACGATTGTTAAACCATATGAGGTAGTCAGAGAGATTGTCGACTATTGATGCTGTGGTGAACGCTTCGTTTGACATGCCCATATATTGCTAGGTATTCAAATTCTCTCTTGTTGATACAAATAAATGATTTTATTTGTTATATTTGAGTTTTTTTCAGGAGAGGGTCGGTCAGAAATATAAATTTGCATATTCTTTATGGTATCGGTCATTTGGAATTTACGACTTCTTAGACGTAATTCATGGTAGTAAACTACTAGGCTACAAACCTCTCAAATGTTATGGTAAATTTATATTTATTGTTTTTTTATATCGCAATGGAGGCAAACAATCATATGGCTTATCTGATGATAACCTATTACCATGATACCATACCATGACTATGGACGGCTGAAACACCAGATGTGCCACGTGCGCTTTGCCGACCTTTAAGAACTTTAATATTTCTTCTAAACCCCATGCTGTATTCTTTAGAGAAAAGTTCATCAGAAGTTAATTGCATAATCAGTATGCGCAAAGAAACTCTAAGAAACCGCAATTATCTACAAATGTAACTGTAATAATATAGCAATATAGCAGTACCTATTACTTCCAGTTATTAAAATAGTCAAGTCAATGTCAAACACTAGAGCAATTTATTTACTGCGATTAAACGAGAAACTTTGATCATTGGTGTAAATAGGATCAAAAGATTTTTTTATTACACACATAGGTAACTGCCTAATTGATTCGTTTATGAGTGTAGGCGATAATTGAATCAAAGTTTTGTGAATATACAATTCATTATTTAAAGTTGGTTAATTTATACCTTACTACCTGTTACCCGCGATATATAGTATTGTTTAAATAAAAGGTAGTTTATTACTGTTGTTTAATAAAATTTCATTAAAACTCTAAGTCGTTTGATCGTGAAAAAGTACAAATAGACAGAAAAACACACTTTCACATTATATTAGATATTACTATGGATACTGTTCTACAACAAATTTATTTTTTCAATCATTTTTCTATAAACATAACAATGACATACTCGTGACTTCTTCTGCGAAGACTAATCAAAACAATAATTATATTTGTATGTGTCCATGTATATATGTATGTGTCCCTATAAACTGATAAGGATTTAGTTTTCAACGTAAAAAGTACCTCTAAAAGTGAAAATAGAAAAGTCAAACCCATACCCAAACCATGAGTTTGGGTTTGACTTTTGGGTACTACTGATCCGCTTTTGAAAATTCATTTAGTAGACTATAAGCTATACAACACCAGAGTATGGCTAGTAGGAGTAGAGCTGCAATAAAGTCTTATATTTTGTCATGCATATATATATATCGAAATAATTACAAGAAAGAAATCGAGACAGTCTGCACCTATTGGTTCAATGCCGGACTTTGACTAAAGTGTCATCAGTTTCAATCTGAGCGTCACTAAAAAAATTTATGTGACATATTTCTGTCTGACTTTCCGGCTATATAGTGTATACGCCGATAACAAACTAAATATTAATCCAAGAGACGGCAGTAGGATCATCACTTGTTACGTAGAATTTAAATAATTCTAGCAAAATGTGAGCAATGTCAAGTGTTGCTTTCACCACACGATATTTGACAAAGCTTCTGACTACCCCGTCCGGGTTAATAACGTGATATTATTATTTTAAAGAGAAAATGTGTGGTGATTTTTGAAGAAAGAAGAAGAAGTCGGGATAGTATCAAATTTAGATAGGTATCAACAGACACGCCCATGGTCGTATCACGACGGACGAGACGAAATGAAAAACGGCGGCGAACTGTAAACGTGTATAATTATGGATTATTATTTATACTCGCTAGGCTGCCCGTTATAATTTGGTTAATGTTAAACCGCAGTGCTTCTTATTCTAATTTCTAGTATACGAAAATACTATAAACGTTATAATTGCTAGAATATTGTGTAATGTCTCCAAGTATATAGCCACCAACGTAACTTGTTTTTCTTAATATTACTCGAATGGCAAACAATCTAACAGTTCACCCACGTAAGTGAACATCACGTTATCATGTAATGCCCGCGCCACCCCTTATGCAACTTCCGGATAACTAAGATTACAGACCTCCGTACACTGTTATTTCGTTACCATTTTTTTCTATAGAAGCGTTGATCTTCTATAAAAACAGTGATACAGAGGTATCTCAAGTAGACACATATGTTTGTACAAAGTATATTGTTACAAACGGATTGTGTTTTAAACTTTGATCCTCTTGCTTTAAACAAGTGCTATTTACGTATCGTCAATCCCTTTGTATAATTCAAATCGAACAACCATTTTGACACAGTATTAAAAAATGTGAGATGGCCCATGAGTTTTGCGTACTGGCTGGAAAGTTCCTCAGAACACAGGATCAACTGTCATTTTTTTCAATAATTAGTAATAAGATATGTGTGTTGTATATTTTTATCTATTTTTATTAATAAAGCCTGTTTTTAAATAAATGTTTTGACCAAACTGAATTTGTCAAAAACAAGTAGGCAAATTATAAAATCACGTAGATATAAAGCTTAAAACAAAACATAAGATTTTCCTTTTAGCGATTATTGATAAGTGACAACTCTTTTGTAGAAACTTGAACAACTAACTAGATAATAAGTTTAAATTTGGTGTTTAAAAATAAATAATGTTTATAGAAAATCAGAATCATATTATACGGGAAGTTATTAAAGGTCTCACTCTTCTCCTAGATGTTATTAAGTGCCATTTTTTTTTACAGTTTGTTGACAGCCTCGGTGGTCTAGTGGTTTAGCACACTCCTTTTGTATCCGATGGTCGTGGGTTCGATGATTAAACCAAAAAAGTTTACTTGTTTGGCAATTGACGGTACATAAATTTTGATTCTAAAATTGAGTGTTTCAAAATTTGGACCTGAATCTTTGACAGTATCGTTCCTATTATATTTTCTATAGCTTTATTCATAATCATGAATGACCATTAGGTACTATTTTCCAATGGGCGGTCGTAACCAGCCTGGTTGTTTTGTTACTTCCCGTAAACAACATAATATGATTTGAAACCTCATAACGAGGATCGCGTGAAAACCAAGGTCAAATACCGTGGTAACGATAAATATTAGAGTAGAGAGTAAATGCATGGGTATAAATAGAAGTAAACCGAACGGAGCGCTAAACGTTTGATGGAACTGTAATGTTCCAGTTGTGCGTCAATGATACACCACTTATAACAAGGATGCCAACCGTATCAGGATCCTCATAATAACACGAAATTGTTTCCTTTGGTACGAAGGCATTTTCATCCACGTACAAGTCTGTTCTATATATTGACCTGCGAAAACAGGTCAAAATGTTATGATGTACGAGGTTAAAGAGTCGATTTGAACTAATGTACTAGATTTTAAGAGATATTTAATTTTTGGTATGAAGCTAATAGTTTTTTTATGGCAACCCTGCCTTAAACAGATTTAATTCATTGTACAACAAATTATAACCATGCTCATGACTCTAATTCTAGCAGTCGGTGATTTTAGAAGGCATTTTGAACAGTCGCCGTTATGGTGAATGTAGCGGCCCTATAAATCAGAAATTTAGCAATTTTGACAATATCTTTGGAGATACTAAAGTCACAGTTTCAATTCTATCAAAATATAAACTTTGAAATTTGGGACACAATATTCCATCACTATCGGAATATATGAATTAAACATGCATATTTTTTGTTTATAGACTATTACTTACTAAATTACTTGGATTCTCATCTATAAGGCATCAGATGGAATGCAAGTAATTTGGTACAACAATTGTTTTTGTATATCAGTTGTATAAGCCTTAATTATTTTAGTCTATGTGATATATTGATTATTATTATTAAATTTATTTTTATGTGTTTATATATTTATTTGTGCTAAAGGATTTTTAGACTTCCAAATTTAAAAAACCACTATTATTTTCTTATTACATTTTGGATAGGTTAATAACCTATCCAAAATTTAATATTTATCGTTATTATTAATTATTACTATAGATACATCTTCTTATTACCTACACAATTTTTCGTATTGTAAAATAATGTAGTGCCTGCAGTATTTTGTCTAGTTTTGTGTATAATAAATTTCGTATATATTTTAATTAAATTTTATTCAACATTTGGAAACTTTAAAAATTATTGTCGTTGTATCGCATCAACTGCGGTTTTATTGACTACGAAATGCAAATATATGTAAACCGAATTATTTTTCTGGCTGCAAAACTCTGAATAACATTTAATTATTCATTATAATAACTAGGCACCTATTCACGTTACAGTATGTATTTTCTTCTTCGGCATCTTGTTTAATTATCGTTAATCGCCCTAATTACCTTTTTGGGAAAAATAATATTTATTTGGAATGTACCTAATTAAAGAGTATCTACAAAATTCTGCATATACTGATAGGATCATTAGATTTTGCTATATGATTTATGCAATACTAAGAATCTACAAATCATCTCATAAACTAAACCGGTATAACCAGTAAACACATCCGAATGGGAGATTAAATTATAAACTCTCTATCTAAAATTGTTTACTAGAAAAAAATATGTAAGATGCGTCGTAAAATCAGTTGGTCTGAATGTTCAACGATTTCATTTGGCGATTAACTGTGATAGGAACTCACATTAATAACATTGGGACGGTAGCGGTTAGCTGACGGACGCACGGCGGGCGGCGGGCGCGGTGCGGGCGATGTACGGCGGCGCGCCCCCCCGCCCGTGAATATCATCGGCGCCCGCGCATCCCGACACCGCTGCGGCGCCGACGCCTGTCGCCGCCGCCGGAGCCCTACACCACTATTCGCCGCTGGAGTACCCCGATTGAACCTGCACACTCGCCGCGCCTCTCCACACCGGTGCCACGTTTCGCCACTCGCGTATTTATAAACAGAATTCCTCACGCGGTATTCTGGGCCGGATACAACTTTTTACACGACTTTCAGCACTTACGTCGTACAGAGGACTGAAGAGGCGAACTACGGGCTCCTTTCTGGATTGTCTGCCGGAGTCTGCGTGAGTCAACATCGACGCCCGCACCGATCGAACACAACTTTAAGCGATACTCTCAAAAATACGGTGCTTAAAATAATTATTTTACAAGCTTACAAGAATGCTACGGCGGATAAATGATAGAAGATAAAATATATTTTTAGATGGCCCGAATGTTTATTTCTTTACGGATTCCAACAATAGGTACCTACCTACCTAACACCGAAGCATCTTGCGTCGGCGCAGTTTGTATTCTCACCGATCCAGAATCTTTTCAATCAAGTTGAAAATATTTTAAAATTGAATAAAATTCTAAGATTGGTCAATGTTGTATATAAGTATGCGAGTAACATATCTATGTATGCCTGAATGTATAGAATTCATAAATACAGTCAGCATTAATCAAGTATTTATAAATAAGCTAACAGACTATATATGTCAAACTGACAAAACTTATGCACGATAGATATTTACTATTTACAGAAATTTGCTAAGAAAAGCACACCTACCTACCATGCCACAGGCAATAGTTAAACAGTGGTAAATTTTACGACCGACCAGACAGTTTCACTACACAAACAGTAGTTAAATATTTTGGTCGACAATATATATATTGTTTTGTTTTGTATTGTATTATATACAACACACTTATTTACATAGTTTTATTGTTCGCGTAATATTAACGGTTACGCTTTAGTATGTTTATGTCAAACAAATTCTTTACACTTATCATATTTTTGTTCAGTAAGTAATCTGACAAGTTGAAGCTAACATCGTCACTCTATACGCGGTTCTTATATTTTTTCTACTTTTGACGGCCTCTGTGGTGTAGCGGTTTAGCATACTGCTTTACTGCCGATATACGCGGGTTTGATTCCTTACACGGTGCATACGGTGTATTCATTAGTGCGGTTATTTGTATCACCCTGAAAGTTTTCTATATACATATATATTATGTATGTAGTTAAAAAATATGCGTATTAAAAAATATTCAAGTAATTCTATCACTAGTCTAGTACCCATAAAACAACCTGTTAACGGGACTAGATGACCCACAGTTAATTGTAATGAGTTATTATTATTATTATAATAGTATTCTCATTTTGATATGGTATCCCGCAATCAATTTTCTCGAACACTCCTTTACTTTGTCCACAAAATACAATTTAATACCAGCTAACTGACAGCTCTTTAATAATACAATAAAATACAAATAACTTTGTTAAAAGAAACATCGTTTTAAACATATATCAATGGTCAATATTTAATTCGTATTCATTATCAAAAGGAACCTGCATGTATCCGGCACTGTTTTGAACAAAATTGAATATATACATTAAAGCATAATTTAATGTTTACAAATAAAATATAATCCAGTAGTAAAACTTTGTTTTTTTTTTTTGTACATTACGCTATAGACGATGTACTAAAGAAACCCGCCAATTTTTAAGGTAGGTACCTTTTACTAATAATAATATAAAATGTACTGTGATTTGCGTTCAAACACACACCTACACCTACGGGCTGATGCACATTTTGAAGAAAATGCGAATCATTCACGTTGTTTGATGTAGTTCGTGTTTGTTTTTTTAAGCCATCGACGGACGCGCCATTGACTATACGTAGTGTTGGTAGTCTGCAGTAAGGAGCAATTTTGGAATAATTGAATGACATCGCAATTCTTATATTTTATCGAATTGGGCGTTATTTTGTGGACGTCCAATTCACTGCTTAATGTCGCGGTTTGGTCGTCGAACTGTTAACACTAGGCTTTCAAGCTATATTCGTACTCTATTCAATGCCTGATGATGCCTGGTTCAGAGGCGAAACATGTGTAGCAATATAGGTGTAGATTCAATAACGGTCGGAATTTGATCAGCATTAGAGAAGGTCGTAACGGTAGTCAAGTTCCCGCACTGAATATTTGTAGTCTCACACTTGCCATAGGTAGCGGAATTAAACAAAATATAAACCATTAAGTTGCCAATTCTTCTCAAAGCATCCCGTTTAGCTGACGTCTAGCTAATGCAATTTAATTGCATTTTGATAGGGTTGGAAAATAAATTGCTTTAATTACTATTTTTTCTTATGTAATATTCAACATAGTGCCACGGTGACAAATTTATTACTCCTACCTACTTTTCTGAAGGCTGGGCTCTTTATAGCCACTTTGATACAATGGTTAGCATAACTCAGTAATTATTGCGTCGTTCGTGTTGTCTTTATTAACGTTCCGTACGTTTATTTGTCTTGGTAGATGGTTCCATCTATTTTTGCATCTGTATCCATAAGATGTTCCAGATGATGTATCAGAGTAATTGCATTTGTACCGTGGTTTATTGGTAAAATGCTACTATTCATCTAATCCAAGGCCACGTGGTAGAACTAAGTTTATTATTGTTTAGTTTTGTATGTATAATTTATACATACTTACTCTAATCACTCCAACTATGTCCAATCCTAGTAATATTATTTCTTTATACTGTTATCTACGCCATAAGATCTTTAATGTCGTTTTCTCAGTTCAAACTCTTATACCACGACGTCTTTTCTAATCTTGACATTGGCAGAGAATTGTCGTCAAAACCATCCTATATGGTGGAAGCCGTATTAATTAATTAAGTAAAAATTAAGAAGAAAATGAAGACTACGTTTATTAAGTAGGTACTGCTGTCTTTTTCTTCGTGTAATAACACGTTTATTGAAACTATAGTTTTATTGAGTAAGATAATGTATTTTATTAAACAATCAAATAGATAATTAAATTACAATATAATTATTCTTATTATCGATTTAAAACTGTGAATAGACTGTACGATGATTTCAGCACCTGGTGATTAGAAACAATAAAATTTTCAAAATGATGTTTTGTATATGTTGCTATTTTTTTATGAAGAATATTCTCTCCTACAAGAGTTCCTGAAAATCGGTACGGAAGTTTATTGTGACACATGCAAACACAATGAAATTATAAAGTTTTATTTTAACGACTTCGGAACTCAATCACAAATTACAAAATTAGAAAAAGGAAGAGTACATGTCGTACATTTACTGAGACGTAAATTAAAATTTATTGTTATTATTATAACCAATACAAACCCCAATGTAAGTATCCAATGACATGGGTATTATATATGCGGTGCGAGGAGCCAGAGGTCTCGAGCAGAAACACATTAGCAGTAGGAGTTCTCGACGATGACTCGGGGACAGTGCCAACCAGTCACCCGTGTAAACTGACTGGCTTATAAATTCACTCTGTAGATTTTTTTATTAAAGATGTAAATTATACACAGGTAATTGAGCGAATAAATAAAATTTCATTCTTTTTTTGTAAAAAGGCCAAAAGAGTAACAAGAGTTTTTTTTATGTTTCTGGAATTACAAGCAAACTGACGCACAGCTGAAAGTAACCGTCGTCGTCAGACGTTATCAAGCTTGTGCCATTTGTAATGCTTCTGCAAGCCCAAGGAGTCATGACCAATAATTTGTAATTTTATTTCCATATGTAAGACTAGCTGACCCGACTAACTCCGGCTACGTCATATTGTCCTCGTTTTTGCTACATTTTTAATTGCAGCACCATTCTTATTGATCATAGTGTGATGTTATATTACCTACATATGGAGTATATGTAGGTTTACTCGATAAATAGTCTGTGTAATACTAAAAGTAATTTAAAGAGTCGGTTCAGTAGGTACAGAGATTACTCCTTAAAACCTCGCGCACACTTCACCTTACTCTCAGTACAGATAGATATGTCAACCGAAATACAGCAAACTGATAACAAGCTCCTTGGTGATTTAAATAAGTTAGAAGTACCGTCATTATCTAATTTGGACAAAGCCGACTTCAGTAAATTATGTATAATTATTTACATGAGTATACATTTAACATCTTACCTCTACTTTCAGTTCAGATCCAAAGTAACAAAATAGAAAGAGTTGACCAAGCATGCAACCCAAGTACATGACCATCGGTATAAATTCCGGTGACAATATGTTGAGCTGTAATGTAAAGTAACCTTTATATCCCCTAGAGGTAGAGCCAAAATTGATAAATGTAGGTAATGTAGTTGCATTAATTTTGTAAGGGTCCCTAGGTAATGCAATTCTCAGGTAGAGTTAGTTGCCATTCTACCATTCGAAATTCAAAAATGAAATACAATAAAACATGAAAATACGTAGGGCAAAAAAGGAAGAATAAAGAATTTTGTTTAATTATTTTCTCTGTGGTCGTCTCTGTACCGTCTAACCGTAACGGTTATCTGGGACTGAAATGATAAATAGGCTGACTCACCTCATGGTAAGTGGGAATAGTTGCGTATATACGTAAACACCAAAAGGGACAATACATTATTGTATGCAGATAATTACAGGCCACAGAATATAGTTAAAATAAATTTTACTTACTAAAACAATTTTATATACAGTCGTACATATCACCCAAGCCATCACAAAGAATTGAATGATCATGGCGCCGTTGAAAATGGACTCTACCTCTTTTATATAACTGAAATTGTATTATATACAATATTAAAAAAATAAATAGGTTTAATCTACGTAAAAATAGAACGTACGCAATTTTTTTTAAAATTCTACTAGGTAAATCAATAGATAAATTAATGCGTTATAATGAACTAATCCAATACAATATAACCGATGGACATATATATAATATATTTTTATCATTTCTATTAAATGTCCGTATAGAGTTCAAATTACAGGCTAGATAATTTAGATAATGTACATAATTTATTTGAATTACACTTTTTATTATGACTTTCATTTTAAAATTGAACAATTAATAGAAAAAGTCAACTCGAATTCAATTAAACTAGGAAATTATTAAGAGGGAAGAGGATGGGTGTCCGGAATATCGACTAACCATTGAGAATTGAGTCCGATAGTATTTAATTTAATTGTATTCTAAAGAAAGAGCGTGCGTTAACTATTATTTAGACTCTACAACTAAGACTTTTTACCTCACTATTTCCTTATAATGATTAGCAGATTTCACTATTCGTCTTTGTGTCCTATTTACTGCGTCATTCATATTGTCTTTGTAAATGATCTGTTCTTTATTCGTTTTGGTAATATTAGCAGCTATTTGTGCAATGTCACCATCTACATCCATGAGATGTTCGAGATTGTATCTGAGTAATTTTATCTGCACTGTGGCTTGTCGGTAGAGTGCTATTATCATAGAATCCATGGCAACGTGACCATAGGCTTGAATTGAAAGAACAATTGCAAAATACCCAACAGCTACTTCGAAACTGAAATAAATATTTACACATTTTTAAAATGAAGATAGAGTGAAAAAATTTAGTTTTGTATTACATTTTAGATTACTAGAGTCTAAAATGTACAAGATGTAGTGTAGACTTCTCTGTTGAAGTAGATCTAAAATTGTCTTCTACAACCACAAAAATTATTATGAAAATCAGTTACAAATATTGTAAAATATATTTTTATAAATATACCTCTCACAAATGTAATTCCAGATGAGGCAGACAGAGGATTGTCATGTGTTGACGTCGGTATGCTGTTGATGTATGTTGACCATACAGATTGACACGTCACATTGAATACATGAATGTAATATGACAGAGAACATCTCTCCGATATATATTAGTATATTATTGATGTTTCTATCATAGGATAATCAATCAAAAATATAAATTGGAAAACATTTTTTTACTGTTAGATTCGAGCTTTGAGACCATATTAGGTAGAAAACTATCAGGCCACGGCGCGGCGGTCGTAATATATGTAAATAAAATAAGTATAAACATTTACTTACAGAGGCGATTCACTTGTGTCGAATGGTACATAACCTGTGAATATTACTTCATTGCCCAATGCTCTATTTGCTACTGGATAAACAAGCCAGAGAGCAGCACAAGACATAGAGGCAGCGTGATAGATGAAGATCAGACGTGCCATAAACACTGCATTACTTCTCATCACTTCCAGATGATAAGGATTAGTTGGAGCGAAAAGTGGTCCTGGAATATTTTTTTTTATGTGACAAAATGATAAGCTACGTCATACGAAGTGGCAACAATAATTTATATACCTGAAAAGCATCATCAACTTCACGTGGAAATTTAAATTTATTTTATTTTAAAAAGGTACCGTGAAAAGATATATGTTCTAACCAATACTTTATAATAACTTTTAATTCCAATTCATGCGTTTAACTCATATACAAATTGATTTTAAAAATAAACTTATGGCCAGCATCATTTTTACTTCAAAATCGACTGAGTCACCTTTGAAACAAAACAAGTTACATTCAGACTCGATATTCTTCTATAGAAGTGAATAAATTTAGCAAAAACTTAGCAAAAACTTCGTACCTTCCTGTTTTTTGCGAGGAATTGAGTAATCTTCGCAAAAACAGAGGAATATAAAATTTCAATCACTGGACAAACCACTAGTTGTATTGATTACGTACCCTCAATAATGTCAAAGATTTTTTTGAGACGTCCACTCCTCGCATTGAAGGTAATCTGTTTGCCAAAGCAGTTGAGAGTGGTCAGCAATATAAACAGCGTATTTACAATCTGGTCGGTGCTGTATCGAACCTGCAGAGCAAACAACCAATATTTTAAATTCACAGTGCTTGGGATATAGTTTTAGGCGTGCAATTTTAATTAAAGAAGAAGCTATTTCGTATATTTAACTACCTTAACATGTACCTGTAATTGTTCTATTAATACGTGTGTTTGTTACCTAACTCCTTCTTAACAGCTGTACCGGTCTGGTTGAAATTTGGATGTATATTTTAATAGTTTTCTAGAGCGTTTGAAAAAACAATTATACCAAAAAAAAAACTAATATATTCCGTTTTCTTGGACAGATCAACATCTGCAAGGTCTGCTAAGTCAGGTATATTAAATAAGATATCCTATTACTATAAATAACACCGTCAGTTAAAAAAAACAAATATTCAAGAGGTAACAACGTGCGGTAACTACTAAATAGAGCGATATCTATAATAAAACGGAACCGTTTACCGTTAAATATAAAACTATCTAAAATCTAGTAAAATACCTGAACTACATGAATCAAATGCTGCAAATTGTAAAGTATAATGAAAAACCACATAATGAAACGATATATCTCGTATAGTACTCTCTGTGCAGTCGATTCATCTTTAGAAGGAATTTTGTAATAAGCTACTCTTGCAAGTGCTTTGATATGAGGAGCAAACGCTTCTAAAACAGAATATTTAGCCATCATTACCTCCAAATTAATGCCGTGATTCGTATACGTTGACACTTTAATAGTTTTAGGTGCTATATTGATGATTAATTAAAAATACAAAATTTACAGGATGTTTAATTTTAAGATTTTTGTCAAAATCAAAACATCTTTATGACTATTACAGACTTACGATATGTCAAAATTTACCATAATTTCGGAATGCATTCGAGCTAAGAGCAACTGACAATAAATTGAGCTCTTATTCTTTTCAAAGGAGCTTGTACATGTTTATAAAAATACAGATATATTTTTAAATTCAAATTAGGGAGAACAGAGTGATGACCAGCATATACTATTATAATTTTGTCACAAGGAAATAGCTCAATCAGTGGCCAGAACGTTAGGTAGCGTTAGTATGTTAGTTTTCAGACTGTAATACCTAGATAGACTTTATCCGAAATAGTTCGCGTCGGTAGTTCTATGTCACCTATTTCAGCCGCTAAACTACTATATGTTTCAGTCCAAGGGTGAGACATGAAGAATAACAACTTAGTCCTCCGAAGTGTATAACCAAAAGGTGTACCACCGGCATTCACATTATGACATCCGTGTGATGGATCCTGCTTACCATCAGGTGGAACGTTAGCTATATATGCCAATTACATAAAAATACACATATTATTTTTTAACTACAATTTTAAGTTTAAGTAACTACAAGTTTAAATTATATTCTTTCTTCCATATATTTATCACACATTATAGTATATAGTAATATACTATTGATCGTACAACAACAAAATTCATTGATAATTGAAAATAGTTTATATTGTCGTAAATATGATCGGTGATCCAAGATTAGTCCTTTGGAGTGCCTTGTGCACTCGCTGCCGCCGCGCCGTTAGCGTTCTGTGAAGCTTAAAAAGCAGCTATGGACAAAAGCATAATTATAGTTTTTTTTACCAACTAGGTCCTAATAAAAACTATTAATAATAGTGTTTCCATTTCTAAAATATCTTAAACATATTTATTAAAATTATCTATATATTTTTTTAATATTGTAGATAATATCTTGAAGTACCACTGAAACCTAAATTAAGTAAGTAAAAATATTTGCTATTCCGAATGATGTTAATAAGAAAAAACATAACATCCTATATTTTATCGAAACTCCTGTACAATTTGAAGGTACTAATTTTGCAAGCGGCTAATTAACAATAGTGAATTTTTAACTTATGAGCCATTATAATGTTTTACTAATTAACACTTACGCACCTATAATAATTAGTCTACGGTATAATTATGTTAAACGGTATGTGGGTACATTTTGTTTACTTGTGTACTTGTTAAAGGAATAATAAACGTTAAGGTATTTATTTTCAATATAATATCTGTACTTTTGATTGATATGACATGATTTTTCGTCATGTAGATTTCGATAGTACCTAATAATTTATAGTAACTCTTCTTTTCATATCATATTGATGTACGAGAAAAAAAAACTCTTTTGCATTTTGAATTTCGAATGCGTAGCATTCATTTGTTTTATGAATAAAAATATTATTAGATAGATGTGATAATACCACAATGGCGTTTTTATTTATCTCCACAATTTAACTATGATTTATACAATTGGTGTGAATAAAAAGAATACTAAAACAAAGAAAAAATATTTATTGATTTCCAAGTTCAGCTAAGTATAGGTTACCTTTATTATATATTGTTAGGAGTATGAGTTGTAGATATACGACCTAATTGTCTGTGTATCGATGACGATGTTGCTGCTTAGCATCTTGTTGATTGTAATATCTTTTTATTCTGTTTATTATACGTATTTAATAATTAATATTGCTTTTTATTCTCAACTTTAATATATATATATATATTAAAAATTCTTAAAACAGGTATGTATTCTATATATACATATAGAAAAAATTAACAACAAACATTACAGTTACATAATTACTAACTAATCTATGTCTGCTGTGATGCAGACGTTTTACAGTTTTGCAATATTTTTCATACGCTATTTTCTCTATATGTGTGATGTTACATCGTTTATTGCCTTCCTAGCATAAATGAACTATCTAATACAAAAATTATTTGAAAATTCTTTTTATTTTCTAAATCGGATCAGTAGTAGCGGACACTGCCCTGAATTTTTAACCCAAAATGTTTGCTTCTTTTGTAATATTCGTTCAAAGAAATCAAGCTAATTACTCTATTATTATAAGGAGCTCTTAATGGTTTTGATAAAGTAACTCTACATTACTGAATTTTCAAATTATTTAAGAACTACACTTTATTATAAGTACTATATAAAAAAGATAAATATTGTCTTATCTGTGCCAATGATACTTAGTCAAGCTACATTATATTATATCTTTCTATTTTCGGTTCAGAAACGTGAAGAGACTGTATGATGACTTCAGCACCTGTAATTAAAAAAAACTTTATCAGTAATCAAAGTTTCTCTTAATTTATTAAAAAGTCTATACAAATATTTGAATAAGTAAATATTTATTGAAATTTTGTGTAATCGCAATTCTCAGTGTATAAGAGCCTCCTAACAACACTTTTCAAAAAAGGAATAAAAAAAATATTCAGCTCAACCAAACACTAGTCACTCCATTATTACGACTAACATCACAAATAGTATAATTGTCTTTTTCAGGACTAAATCAGTTGATCGGATCTTAAAGACATGAACATAGATTGTATCACGAGACACATGCTATCTTTTATCTTAAAAAGAGCAGACAAAGTCGCATAAATCATCTAGTTGCAGATATGTATTATATATACATAACTAATACAAACCGCAATGTAGGTATCCAACGACATGGGTATTATGTACGCAGTGCGTAGTATCAGTGGTCTTGAACAGTAACTCATCAACACCAGAAGTTTTCGACGGTAACTCGGCGACAGGTACAACCAGTCGCTACAATAAACTGACTGGCATACGAATTCACTCTGGGGATATTTTAAAATGTCATATAATTGTATATTTACAAATTATTAAAGTACATTTAAAGAAAATAGTTTATTATTATTAAATAGTACTCGTATGTTATTATGTCTATGATTATTATACTTATTAATTTGTCGGGCTCAACGGTTTAGCGGTTTAGCACATAGCTGTACTTCTGATGGTAGGGGTTTAGATTCTTTTCAAGATACAAATGTTTATGAGTGTGATTGCTTGTATCCATCAGGTGATCTATAAACTTGTATTACATTACAATAACTTTAAAAACTTACTTAAATAATAAAAAGTAGGTATTGACTTAAGAACGAATCGTAGCCTTATCGAATAATCAGCCTCTCTAATCTGTCGTATTATAATATCATAATACGTTTATTATAATATATATAGAACCTACCTCTACTTTAAGTTCAGTTCCGAAGTAGCAATAAATAAAAAGTTGGCCCAACATGCAACCCAGGTACATGGCCATTGAAACGAATTCAGCTGATAATAAACTTAACTGTAAAATAAAATATTGACTCATTAGGTACATCAATTCATTTGTGAGTAATATATAAAATGTTTTATAAAAACATATACTACAATTTAATTTCTTGGAAAAATGTAATTTGATCGTCACCAAATGACGAAAATCTGATGTGATTTGCGCATATCTCACAAATTTATCGATACTATCATCGTAATATTATCATAACAATTCTCGTCCCCCTGTATGGGAATAATCAAGTCAGACAGACGGCTTTTTAAAATACTTTTTTATCAGTAGCCATTTATTAGTAGATACTTCGCCTAATCACCTCTTAGGATAATCTGAAGATGAAGAAGTGTGCCAAGATTTATTGTCGCTCGGCCACCATTGGAAGAAATAAATTATAGTTTTATAGGTGTTTTTTAACTAATACTCATATTATTGAGGTAAAACTAGAATGAAATATGAATTTTAATAAGTAGAAAAACTGTTCGCACTTACACTAACAATTTTATAGACAGTCATACATATCACCCACGCCATTCCAAAGAATTGTACAATCATGGCTTCGCCGAAAATTGACTCTACCTCTTTTACAAAACTGAAATTATAAATGATGTGTAGTATGTAAATAACGATTATGAAATGAAAGAATATTAGTAAAAGGAATGTGGAGCCTATGATAGTTTTCATGAGTCTGTTTGCCCCTTTTTGGTTGTTTTTTTTGTAAGACAAAATTAAGATGACAGAAAACTACCAATTATGTCGATTTAATCTCCAGAGTGGCCCGCATGAGAGTCGATCGACCGAATCGATAAGATTGATAGGAATGAGGCCAACTGACCACAGTATTGACAATTCACCACCCACTTCCAAAACAGATGAACAACAGAATTCTACCTGGCAATTTTCTCGTAATGAATCACATATTTCGCCAACCGTCTTTGTGTCTTATACATAATATCGTTTACATTGCTTTTGGAAGTATCCTGTTCTTTATATATCTTGATAATTCCCTCATCCATTTTTATGATATAATCTTCTGTGTCCACTAGATGTTCTAGATTGTATCTAAGCATCTGTATTTGTACTTTGGCTTGTGCGTAAAATGCTACAATCGTGCAATCCATAGTAATATTGCCATAAGCTTGTATTGAAATTAATACCGACATATAAAGTAAAGCGTAATAAAAACTGAAACAAAGAATAGGTATAACATAAGCTGTAATTAAAATATTTAACAATGATTTTGTTCGTATTCCGATGACTTTAGTTTTTTTAGTAGAATCCCTCACAATTCAGACATTTATATACCTATAAGTATATACAACAACTTACAATTTTGGACATTAACTATAAATAATATAAAAAGACATTTTCATTAGCAGGTTCCAGAAACCAAATCTTGTTTTATTTATAATTATGTAAAACTAGCACTCCAGTAGAGAATTCGTTCTTTAGTGTCTATACAATACTTAAACAACTACACATGCTGTTCTATTAAATTCATCCCGGATTCCGAATCCGGAACTATAATTTGGAAAATACTATCGGTCCTATTGAATTCTATAAATTATGGTTAGGAGCGAAGTTTTGTATGATGTTGATGAACACAATAATAATTTAGAAATGGCTTAGGTACTAGTTTTAATGCGTGGGAGAGACGTAAATAAATATAGTAGGCGTGTACTTACGTCTGTGAAACACTCGTATCAAAAGGTAGATAGCCTGTAAAAGTAACTTCTTTGCCTAACGCTCTGTTCACGAGAGGGAAAATAGTCCAGAGCAGACCACAGCCCAATCCACCACTTTGGTACAACAACAATAGTCGTGACATCGATACTTCGTTTTTCTTCATCAATTCCATATGATAAGGATTTGTTGGCGCAAAAGCTGGCTCTAGAAGTACTTACAAAATTATAGGCACTATCACTATATAGGAACCTACCAATATAGGTAGAAAGGAAGGGATTGGTATACTAACCATTACTATGGACACTATTACAAAGACTGTGACATATCAGGTTAACCTTTGACGCGATTCCTGGAATTAGTGAATTGCTATTATGGACTAATTGACCTAACTACATGCTCATCCTATCGTCTTTCACTGGTGCATAACATTAGGGTAACATCATTGTAACCCATAAAAAACATTTGTGAAAAGCCTAATACTTAGCTTTACGATAAATCTCTTTTCAGTATAAGTAGATATTCCTATGCCATATACGTAAGTATACATTAAGAGTCAATAGAAATACCATTCAATGTTTATTGAATTACCATTAATGATCTCAATAATTTTATTAATACGCCGACTTCTCGCGTTGAAGGCGATCTGCTTGCCCAAACAGTTGAGGGTGGTCAGTAATATGAACAGCGTGTCCACCATCTGCTCGGTGCTGTGACGAACCTGTATATCATAGGCAATCATAGATTTTATTAATAGAACAGTCGTAATATTATCCAATATAATTAAGACTTTCGTTTAAATGTAAAATCACGGATAACATTTTTTTAACTAATTATTTTGAAGAACATAATCTGTTAACTAATAGTTTTCATGATATTGTGGTCCAGTTATTAAGGTATGTACGTAACACTACTTGCTGTTATAATTTAGATTACAGTAAAATTACCAAATCAAAATTGAAAATAGTTATATACTAATAATATTTTTCAGCCGAATGATTTAGCTAAATGACATTATACGTTTATATTGTTATTTTATTATTATTTACATAGTTATATATCTACCAATTTATTCTGCCCCTGAAAATAAACCATATTTATCTAATGATTACTTATTCATAAATAAAATACAAACTTGCGAATTCGAAAAATCTAAGAAACTTTATCTCTTTTATCGAAAAGTGGCTCGAAATATGGGATGACGATGCCTGTCGCTTTATCACAGCGGGTAATTCTGGATGTTCCAGATTTATCTAATACTAGTATAGTTACGCCAAATGCCTACCTGGACGACACGGATCAAATGCTGTAGGTTATAGAGTAAAATGAAAAACCACATAGCGAATCGATATATCTCGTATAGTAATCGCTTCCCAGTCGATTCATCTTTGGAAAAAACTTTAAAATATCCTACTCTTGCAAGTGCATTGAAATGCGGCACGAACGCTGCAAATACAGAATATTTAGTCATCATTTGCAGCGAATTAATTACGGTGTCGTTGTTTATATACCCGGCCTAACACTTACGTAAGGTTCAATAATTTGATAATTTAGTAACGACACAGATACAGTATGTTCTTTTCGTGTTTATTATTTTATGTGCCATTTATGTACTAGATATAATATCTGAAGAAGCAAAATCATATTTCATAAAAAACTTACCGACACATCCCATTTTTGTGCAAAGGTGCATCCCCATACGCTATCGATATACGCTGACGCGGCATCATTGTGAGATAGAATGAGAATCAAGTAAATGACAGAATAGGAGCAATTGACAAGGAGTAAAGAAAAATGCACAGAAAATAGTTCTCTATTTGTACTACTACACTTATGAGCAGGTACAAACACGCCTATGTGGTAGATCTATCCCATGATTACTGCCACATTCTACAATTCCAAAGGATAACACACACGCGCGCATTATGAGTTTCGTTACTCCTATCTTTTTAGTTTTCGTTATTCTATTTCCTTCTAATTCCTTACAAAGGCATGAACAAAGAACCAACAAATTGATTTCTTCAAAAAGGACTTTAAAACAAAACAATCGAAAACGCGAACATATCGAACAGGAAGGAAAAGATTATTAGGCATGGAATCCTCATTTCAGTGGTTCAATTGCTGACTAGTTCGACTAACGTTCAGTTACACCTGGAAACTACCCTGATAAAATTTCTGGGTGAATTCGCCACGGTGGGCCACTAGTGCCCGCCGACATAATACCTTCACGAATATCGGTGCACCATACCATAATTATCCATAAAAAAAACCGCGCACGTTTGCACTGGTGGTTGCAACTTATAACGAGGCGCAAAATATGTTTTTTTTGCCTCGCTTTATGGAACCCTAAAAAAAGATTTTAAATGAAGAAAAATAGGGATAAAAAAAGTATCATCATGGTAGTTTGAACTGAAAGCCTTAATCTAATATCAAAGGTGGCAATTTTACGTGTAATTAAGCGTCAATTATGTTGTTTGTCTAATTAACACCCGGTGTATAGAAAACAGGCGACGACATGATTAGAATAAATAGCATACTTTATAATTATGAACTTGTTTAGTATATGATACGATACGTAATCATCTTTGGTAGGTATTTCGTGTGTTCTCGTGATTAATTTTTTATTTTTTATTGCACAATAAAAAAAAGTACAAAAGACGACTTTACTAGTATAATGCCATGGCTTAATGCATGGCATTCTACTAGTACCAATATCAATAGATATCTAATATAATATATACATAACTACATGTGAATATAATATGTAAGTATATTCATACAGGTACTAGGTGAACCCGTGACTTGGTACTCGTACATCTATACATATAAATAAAATTGGAGAGTCTGTTTGTAATATTGAAATAACCGTTTTTTACTTCATTTATATGAATATAAATACGCTACATACATGAAGATAACATTTTTTTCAATTTTTGTCTGTCGGTCTGTATGTTCCGGCTAATCTCTGAAATGGCTGGACCGATTTTGGACAGGACTTTTTTTGGCAGGTAGTAATGTAATGTAGAAAAATTCTTTTATTTTAGAAAAATAAATGCCACGCGGACCTAGTCGCGAGACCAGCTAGAATATAATATTTTTGTTAGTAAACCGAGTGCAAAAAATAAACTAATTTTTAAGTGTAACTTACCACATCACAGACATCAACTAATGATCGTCGTGATTCGTAGTCGATGTTTTAATCGAAGCCCCCGTGCTAGGTATAATAAGGTAAAACTAATATACCATATGTTACGTTTCCATAGTATGTAGGATTATATCTATCTATAATTAAACAATCGCAAATATTAGGGTAAGGTTAGGTTCTTTATTGAATCTCACTTAAAATCGCTTTTTGCCTACAGATGTCCATTGCCCTGCCATCAGCCCTTCTTGTCCAAATTTTACCCGCAACCCTAAGTATATCGTCACTCCATGTAGCGGTAGCGGGGCATCCTACGTTTGCCAATTCGCGGTCTCCACTCTAGAACACGTCTACTCCAGCGATCGTCTGCCAACTGCCAACCCACTGCCACTTCACTTGCAAATTCGTAGAGCTATATCGGTGATTTTAGTTCTCTGGTGAATTACTTCATTTCGGATTTGATCCCTAAGTTTATTATACAAGAGTTTAATTTAATTATTCAAGTAATTCTAATTTATATAAGTTGTGACATGGTTTATGTCGGTTTATCATAAAATCCAACATCATTCACCACATCGCACATTCTCTAACGAGAATATCTGATATTGGGAGCCGTTGAGCTCCACTAAGCCGACTTTCTGTTCCGAACTCAACACATCCGGACGGATATTTTGTCACATTTGAAGCACCACTTAGTTTATTTGGTGTGTGGCGTTATAAGTCGGTAAGTCAGGGAAGCCAGACTAGTTAACATACTGCATATCAGGCTTTTAGATCACGGCTCGTTCTAATAGTGATATTAGAGTGTTGGGTGCTCTTGAAAACGTTTACTTACTGTTTAAAAATAGCAACGTCTTTAACAGTTGAGCTGAGTCTTATTTTATCACTTGACGACTCAATAATTTCAAGTTTAAAATAGTTATAAAAGAAAACAACTAGGTATATTGTTTTCTTGTCTACAGACTTTGTTAACAAGACAGACTTTGTACAAAGTCACGTCATGCTCTGGTGCCAAAGAGCTTATTTTGAGAGTTGTATTTCGTTCGAAGAGCAGTAAAATGTATAATCGTGGTTATAACATCTTAATCCGTCAGAATGGCAACGCATGTGGAATACCACAAGCATGATATGTGTCATCCGTGGTACTGTCCATTTTGTTGGAGTAAGCTGGACATACTTGTTTTTTTAAGAACAATCATTTAATGTAATTTACAAAGTGTTAAAAATGAAAACTGTGCATAGTTTTCATTTAAAACATTTTGTTATTTGTTTATTAATTTTTATATAGTTAGTTAACGGTGGCTCGTTAACAATAAGACATGAAAATTTATCCAGGGAACTATTCAATTTTAATAGCCAAGTAACTGTTATCTAAAAGGCTAAATTGTCTATATAACTCCTTTTAAAATCACCTAATTAACGATGTATATATGAAGGAAAATATCCTTGACTATCTCTCATGTCAACATTATGGTAAATTAAGTTCATTGTGTGAAATTAAGTGAAATAACTATCATTATTGTAAAATTATGTTTATTGATATTAATTATAATCTATCAGAAAAAATCCACATAAGTAATGTTTTGTATTTGGTATTCAGCAATGCATTCACTTGCAATGATTGGAATGTGAAATCAGATTGTAGTGTCCCAAAATATTTCATAAAGTGGTGACATTTTGTACTACATAATACATCAACTGCCAGCATAGTTATCATGATCGAATGGCATTGCCACACAATGTATTAACAATGTTACAATATGCCTAAGATTTAATTATAAATATTCTACACATTTGTTTAGTACATTTACATAAGATTTAGAAGAGACCTGAAACAGTGTAACGCCAAGAAATGAACAATGTCCACATTTACACCTACTTTTTACACACAACATTCAATAGCATTATCACTCAATAACTATTTCAGGACATTGTCTTTTATGTGATGTCTCATCATCGGCCGGTTCCTTTCTCTTTAGTGATTTTCCATCACTCTCTTCATTTGTTCTGTCTAAATTCGAATTATGCTTGTCAGTCTTTTCTACAGGTTCTGCCTCCAGCCTCTCACAATCTGAAGATTTACTTCCCATTGCGGTATCTATAGAACCACTTGGCTTGTCATCATAATTGGATTCATCATTTGAATAAACATCATCATTGCCTTTATCCAGATACTCAATGTCATCGGTAGCAGCCTCCAGCCTCTCTGCCGCCTTTTGAGAAGTTGTGTTTTGTGAGCAATTAATTGTTCTTTTGCTAACTGCTATTCTAGAAGTAAGGGCTCTATGTAGCTGTGCTATGTCTACTGGAGCTCCCTGAAACAAAAAAATCAACATAAATATTCTTAAAGTTAAAATTATTCATAAAATTAATAAATCCTAAAATAATAGTTTCTAAGACCAACAACCATAAGAAAGACCACTGTTAGGATTGTACCCATCGAAATGCCTGCTTAGTGGAATGTAATTATTTCTAAATGGGTATTATACCTTTTGTTATTATGATTTCTGATTATATTGATTACACACTTTCCTTGACGTCATAGATATAAAACTTAAAAAAAACTTACCATTATTAGGAAGAGTTTAACTTGTTGTTGAGCATCAGCGGCAGTGATCCTTAAGGATTTGGTGCCGGCACGCTCCACCACCATATCAGGCCACAATTTGGTGTTGAGCACCACTCGTAATGAGCCCGCGACACGGACCACGAGCCGCGCGGCGCCCGCGCCCGCGCCCGCCGCCGGCCCCAGGCTCGCGCCCGAGGCTGGCCCCAGGCCCGAGGCCGACGATGGCCCCAGGCCTGAGCTGACCCCGCCCGCCGGGTCATTAAGCCGCAACACGCCGCGTCCGCGCTCTCGCCAACTGCCGCTCTCCCATGCGAACAGACGACATGAAATCTGTAAAGGAATTTAATACATTATATTATATATTTAGTAATAAATATATATTAATTATATCTTATTAGTAACGGGAGAGAGACCAGAAAATTCTCTTCTCTGGTGTCTCTCCAGGCTAGCAGGCTTCTACCAGATTTGGCTGGGCAGGTAGCGAAATGTGAGCTATATAAAGTTGAATCCATGTAATGCTAAGAAGTTCATCTTATGCCTATCCTATTATCTCGGGCCCTATCAGTGAAAACCGCTAATGGCAGGCAGGTGCACTATTTCGATGTCATCCAATAATCACCACAGACATGTTGCCTACTGGCACAATTATTAATTAGAACTAATGGCCAAAGGGTATTGGCTACCGTGGCAGATTTCCACAATATAAATACAATTTATAATAATATTATAATTTCATATTTATGTTAGTCTATAAGGTATTTATATGGGCCATTAGTAGTCTAAAATAAATAATAACATAAAAAAATATTAAACTAATTGTAGGGGGCAAGGATAACATCATTATTCAGATTAATGTGGTTTATTTTTTTTTATTGGGTTGTTTGGGCTATTGGCAGGTGCTTGTAGCACCTGTAGCACTGCGACCTAAATAGATTCAGTGCTTCTGGTGTGCTTATTAATTTGAGATGGCAACAATTTAGGCAACAAGGTACGCCATAGAAGGGTTCAGGTCTCAGTTGGGCAGTTTTTGCATCTAACTTTGCCAGATGGTCAGCATTTTCATTGCCTTCAATGTTTGTGCGGGGACCCATCTAAGTATAATATTATTTCTGCACCCTACTTTATTTAGTAGCAAAATATTATGTGGTTGGGTAACAGTGTTTCCAGTACAGAGTCAGTTAAATAGTAGAAATATAAAGTGATGATTATAGAAATATATAACCAACCTGCAATACATTTATCTCACCCTCTTCACCAGTAGTTGTGTAATTAGTGGTAGGTGGTGGTGGCGGCGCATGCGACCTTTCATACTCTGCCGCCGCAGCCGCCAGACCCGGCCCTGATCCTGCCCCTTCGCTTGGCCCTGCCTCCTCCTAAAATAATCAATTATGGCAGACTAATACATTACCACAAGAAGGTTTTAGATCAAGTAAATGAGTAATTATAATAAAACAATATTAATTAAACAAAATTATTATAAATAATTATTTTACCAAGAGCATATTGGTTATATAGGTTATTATTGTATAAGGTACACTATAAATATTATCACTACTATGTATGCATGTAGTGATAATATTTTAGTGTACCTTAAAACACTCTCACACACACAGTCTCAGTGTAAGCGCGATCCGATGTGCACGTATTATAATTATTTTATTTCATATCGTAATTGCTCAGCGCGGCATAAGCCGTGCTAGTCGAAGTTCCAGCCATGTGTGACAAACTTGTGGCCAACGAACTCCTTGCGATCCTGCAGCAGAAGCTGGACGTAATGGACGAAGTAAGTGCAGTGAGTCCAACTTCAGTGTGTGTCCAACTTCAGCCAGGACGACATCGCGAGAGCGAAGGCTCTGCTCTTCGAGTGCTCTTAGAGTAATAAGATTGATCAGATGGTGTCTCGTAGACGTGACGGGACACAAAAGCGTACAGGATATTATAACGCTGCTGAAGGAGACCGATCCAGACGACGTGCCAACTTTTGTGGCGAAGGATTTAAATAAACTTCCTCCAGTCACAATTGATCACGTCGATGTTACCAGCTTACTCAAGGAATCGTGTCCTTAAAAAAGAGTTTGGCAGATGTGACGCTACGTATCAATCCGTCAGAGCACATAATTAGTGAGTTGCGCAAGGAAGTGGACAGTTTGCGCGACTCGCGAAAAGAAACTAGGTCACTTGACGCTACGAACATCAACACGCGCCGTGGGACATGGCGCGATGCGTACACGGCGGAGTCAGCGGTTTCAGCGTCGACACTGACGTCACCAGATGTGGTGTCACCGCCGGTCACCTTCATGAAAGTGGACTACTGGCCGAAAGGTGTGGTGTATCGGCGCTACCGTGGCAGATTGCTGTCTTCAGTGCCGTGATCACACAGACAATATCATTGTATCAGTTTTTAAATATTATATTACATGTATGTTAGTGTATAAGGTATTTATAATATGGGCCTAGTTGCCTGAAATAAATGAATAAATAAATATTTTTATTTATTTATTCATTCATTTTCATTAAATAAAACCTCAATAAATTGTATACACTAAGAAGATATCTCATTCAAGTTATGAATCTAGGTTTGTTTCTTTCCTAATATTTATTCTACAGATGTCTATTGTAAACTCAACACAAACCTGAGCATTTTCCTTCACAGACGCAGCTGCACTTGTAAACAATAATTCTGTAGTTCCATTAGTTGTGCCATGATCTGCTGTAGAAGCTTCACCATTATTTAGGCTCTCATTTATAACTACTCTTTCACTTAAATTCTGTCCAAAAACAAAGCCTGATGAAGAACTAGCTGGTTGTGTCGGTGCTGGAACTGTGCTGGCTGTTCTAGATGTCACATTTCCTGACGCCAGAGGCACAAACATAGGAGCATCCACATCCTTTTTAGTCTCATTCAATTTCTCATCAGCATTGGTAGCAGATTCAGTATCTTTATTCACCTCAGATTCATTTGATGTGTCATTTACTTTCAAAAATGGGTTACCACTGGTCTTGAGTTGTGGTGGGCGAAGTACAGATCCTAAAATGAAATTGTAAATTAATTTCAATAAATGGACACCTAGGAAACTAAATACATAGATGTCAGATTTACCAAACGGATTACAGGTTTTACTTGAACTTGAAGCAAAACCAGAAGATCCAAAGCCCCCGAGTCGAGGCTTTGCTAATACCACTCTAGACTGGCCCACTGATGAGCCATTGTAAAAATCCTCTGAAGAAGGTTTCCCTGGAAAATAGGTATTATAAAATAGCTTAAAATAAAACAAATACATGGCGGAGTTTAAAAGGAAAAAGGATTCAACTTGTTAAGAACTAATAATATTCTTAAGTCAGTCTTTAACTTATAAATATTAAATTAAAAGTCTAATGAATTATAAACACTAAATTATTTCAGATAGTAATATTGAGAATCGAGAAATAATTGAAAATGCAAGGAGCATTAATGAGAAAATGAAAAAACAATCTATTTAATAACATCTGTTTTGCTACATATATTTTCTCCGAGATATTTTAGTAAAAACATAGGTAGTATAATAATAGTAGTATTTAATCAGATATTACTAAACATAATCATATTTAAATAATGTAAGTGTAATCCATTTCGCCTAGATATCGACTACCGACACAATGAAGAAATTGAAGAAACAAAAAAATTACGTTGATGATGCAGCATGAGTACTTGAAACAATGCACAAGGTCCAAGCCAATCTGTTTAATCTACTGATATTCAATTGCTATTTGTAAAAGCACAATTAATGACTGCAATTTAAGATACAGAAGTTACTTAGACTTGTTGAAATTTAAAATTATTGAATTTTTACCTTGCTTTGCGTCTGCCATTGTGGATTTTTTCACAATGTTGCCAGTTTTCTTCTAACTACATGCCTCTGCAAATAATGTACTCTGTGCTGCGCTTGGCATCGTTGCGCTATATACAGACGTAACGTTCTCCAATATTCAAGGTGCTGTTTGGCTTGTATTTGTTTTCTACTTCCAAGAAATTTTGAAAAAAAAAATAGCACTTCTTAAGGCATATTTAGATTTTTATAAATGTTTGTTACGTTATTACACTAACCATTGTTAATTGGTTAATCGAATTTTATTCAAATTTAAAAGATGTCATACTGCTCTACTCAAAATAATGGGTTAAGTAAAGGTAAATAAGTTAGATAGTTATTACTGAAGTCGATTACATTTACTAAGATAAATTGTATTGTATAACACATATTCTTATTTCCTATAGTTCAATCTCTACAAGAACATTATAATAAAATTTTCTTAATTATCGTATACTCTAATGTAAACATATACAGAGACGAAGAGCGCAAAGATGATATAGTTGAACTTTGGTACTCTTTGAGTTGAGAATATATACCACAGACAGGCGACAAAAGAGAGAATAGCTATAAATATGACAATGAATATGTAATATTATATTATCTGTGATGAAACTATAATTCTAAAAAAAATATTTTCACAGTGACTTGCTTAAGTCAATGTATTTAAGTTAATAAAGAGTCTGTTTCTAAGCCAGAATCAGACGAGCTCATTTATAATGATAGGCCTAGAGTTCTTTGTATTCATTAATTCATAATTTAAGAGCTACGCTCTTGTCGGTGGAGCTCTTGCCACTTTCCGCGATCTTCCATCATGCTACTTAATGCTTGATACGACACGACTCCCATTTTGTCCTCAATTTGTTTGATGTAGCTATTCCCCTCTCCCTCTTTCCTTCTATTTTCCCCTCAATAATAATTTTCATGAAATCATCGTGCCGTATCAAGTTCTTTGTATAAAAGGGACAAAATTAGTTACCCGATCTCTCATGCAATACTTTGTTTTGTTACAGACTAATGGACAATGAAATTTACTGCACGGAGATAAGGTTTTAATTACTTAAACACATTTGAATATGTTGCTCTTTGGCCTGAATGCCATTAAGCTATGTCATTCTCACTGTCATTCACTTCATTTTTATTTTATAATAAATCGAGTTAATTAAAAATCTTTCGTTTTTTAACCTAGACTTATCGCCTCTGTTCCAATTCTCTTAAATTACTAATTTTCAAATATTCAAATAATAATTTAATTCCTCGTATTTTTATTATTATAAACAATAAATATCCACAGTTCCAGTGATTGATTGATATATGTATTGTAACATTACACGAAGGTTATCAACATCAATGCGAAATGTTTTTTTAAATTAGTACATTCCAATATATTGCGCTAAAACGTGTTATATTATAAAAATATTAATGAAGTTATTCTGTAATAAGACTTCGTCGTATAGAAATCACAGAAGTCTTAAATTAATTTTCTATGAGAAATGTATCACAATAATTATCTGAGAACATAACAAGTTGCTCATAGTTCGGATAATTAACTTTGGGTAAGTTGTCTTGAAATTTCAAACGTATATAAATAATGCTATTAAGTTTTCGTAGTTTGCCTATAAGCCTTATCATCATTAAATATATTATTGTACCTATATTTAGTACAGGCTAAAACAGGATAAATTCTGGTAATTTTTTACGAATATCTTAAGTACGTTGGTAGGTAGCAATGTCGACTGTTGATCTTATCATCTACATCACTTACATGTAAAAATATTAAAAGCAATAAAAATAAACACATTTATTATTTATGTCTACTTTTTTTTTCAAATATTTATTTTATATTTATTATGATGTATGGTTTATATTTATAGTTATAGTTTTTAGTTATATGTTTATTATGATCTATAGTAATCAAGATGAAACAGTTAAATATCAATATATCTTTAAGTAAGCGCTTTAGTGGTATTGACTCCATAATTATGAACTTACAAGTTATTAGCTGCGATTTTGACTGGTTTCCTTGTATGTTTATTGTTAATTTACTGGTTAAAAAATTAACTAATTCTTAGTTACTATTTGTGGTAAACAAACAAAATGAACCGAAATACATATTAGTAAGCATTTCATTAGAAGAATAAGTAAACTAAATAATAATAAGTAAACTAATGACAATCATTGTGGTATACAATAATAAATATGAATAACCATAAGTATTATTAAGAATTTATTAGTTTTATCAGTTTATCAGTCTGTTTTTCCTTTTTTATGTGGCTTATAGAAGAACAACAACAAATTTGTATTTTCAAAACATCATACATTAAAATTATTTTTTAGAATAGACTACCATTTTATTTTTTATTATTACTAACATGTTGGGTGAATAATACCTAATTGAGTAATACTTACATATTTTATTTAAGTATTGTAAAATAAAATTTATATTTCAGTAGGATTTTATGAGACTAGTATTTTTTAAAGCCCTACTATAGCATGATAAGGCCAGTAAATCAGATACATAACAAAATATACCAGATCTACTTATTGAAGCATATAAGCTTCCTTCATTACAAACTTGTACAAATGTATGTAAGTACCCAAAATCTTTTAGAAATAAAATTATTATTGTTAGTGCTCCCATAGCAATACATTTGTACAAGGTGATACCATATATCTAAAAACTAGAAATGAATGTACTTTTATGTACTGGATACATACCTCTCTTTTTATTCTACACTAAACATATTGTACAATATATTACACACAATAAGTGTCTATACATACACATTACACATGTCTTATAAAGTATCCCAAACATCAGTAGAAAGAAAATGATCATATATCAAACATAGGACAGAACAAAGTAAAGAATATTATATATTATATGTACATTCAATAAGTGTATATTTTTATATGATTTATCATTATGATTGGTATTTTAATAAATTTAAAATTCAACACTTTCTGAAAATATATCCATGATTATAATTCAGCGAAAGACAATAAATCCATCTACTGTATTAACAGTAGATGGATTTAAATTATTTAGAAAAATCAATGTTATTTTTATAAGTGTTTTATAATTATAAAATAATATTAAAATATTAAATATTTATGTTTCTTAGATTAAAACAGAAATCAACCTATATAGCCTGCCCATGAGGTATTAGGCGTATTATTAATAAATAGAGACAGGAAATTAATAAATAATTTAGTATAAATTTATAATACCTTATTAATCTCTTGTGTACGCGTGTAATTTTTGCTGTGTCACTACATTAAGTAATAGAGGGCGAGGAACTGTCGTGAATTTGGGCGCGGGCGTCGTATCACGCGCGCATACATATAGTTCTGACGCGCCATGTCATGAAATAGCACCTGCACTGTATCATTATGTATCAAATCAATTCAATGTGATATCATGTTTCATTTTTGCAAGTTTTTTTTTTAAATCCTTTGAGTTCAGTTTATATAGTGTACAAGTATTGTGATTGTGATAACCAACTGATGGATGTGATATAGAATAGTAGGCTTAGGGAATATTTAAATATTTTTATTAAAGTACAATAAAATGAGAATGAAGACTATCTGGAATGAAAATGGACATTATATTAATGGTATTTATTATTATTTTATAATAAATATTGATTCACTTATAAGAATACATTACATTGAAACATATTTTATACGTATATGATAGGTAAAAATAACTTAAGACTTCATTAATTTTATTCTGATATTTTCTACGATAATTTTAAGAAATAGTATTATTTCTATTTTTTACATTAAAAACATTTTACGCAGGTACACGACATTCTTCTAATACGGTGTAAAATGTTATCAAATATCTGTTACGGTGGTGGCACAGAATTTATAATAGCACGTGTGCTACGATGCTGCTATTCACTAATCACTTTTCAAAACAATATAACAAATTTAGGTAACTTGTAACACGGTCATGGCCTTAGCTGTGTCAATGTGTCACATAAAGTTGTAATTCCCGCCTTTAAATACGTGAACAGGAAGAAATCATGCTATGTATATTATAATGGAGAAATATTAGGTCTACTTGTAATCATTAAGTTAAGTTAAGACATTTAGTCTTAACAAAATTGACAATAGTTTTCGTATATTATAGGTATTAATTATAGTTTTCTTCCGTGGCTATTTAATTAACTTTAAAGAAATAGATATACCTATGTGGTTCAGAAATGTTATTGTGTCAGAATTGTTGATGTAGACATCAAGTAACATATTTTTTTTATGATTTTGGTTGTTTAACAGATCGTAAAAGTCCTATTGCGGTGTAGAACTTTTGAATTTATTTAAAACTTGATGAACTCGTGATTTCCTATATTACAATACGTATTGTAAATTGAAATAAACACTAAAAACAGTTTTTAAATCTAGACTTAAAGCGGCTTTTAAATATTATGTACACGCTAAGACACTTTTGTTACCGATGTCTGCACACTATAGTCTGTTAGTATTCGTAAAAGCAAAGGAAAAGAGTGCATTCAGAGACCCAATGACCAAGAATGTCATGGTAGGACAATATTGTTAATGTTTCGTCCACACTTCTGTATTTTTTTCATAGTATTTCACAGTAAATTGTGTGTATCAACTATGATAAAATGATCGCGATCTTCTTATTAAGAACTCTCCGTATAAGGTATATAAAAATCTTGTGATTACATTCATACATTATTGTAACAGGAGACAAAATGGAAACCGATGACGAGGTATATAAAGATAATATGGATGACCTACACCATATGAATTGTGACACCACCCTCGATGGAGCTATGGGGAGCAGCTCCAATGATATCGGCGATATGACCTTTTGCATGGGGAACTATATTTCTGATTTTATGAAGGTAAGAAAAACTATTACAATAAAAGCAAACTTACTTTAAAAATATTTGATGCCTATATTTATGAACACTTACGATCAACATTTTATTGCGAATTTAATATACTTAATCATTCTCGGTTAATGCACGGTTCTCTTATAGGTGAAGGGTTAATGTCGCTTGCCTTGCCTAACTGGTAGATTTGATATATGGAGTTTAAAAACTCCAATTAAGTTTTCGTGTTTAGGCTGTAGGGCAGTGAAATTACAGGGATCCAGAGGAGTTATATGATAATGTGATGTCCGTAATGCTGACCATGTAATTAGGCTACAGTTACCACTTCTCATCAGGTGTGGCGGTTGTTTGTTACTTCAGTTATATTAAAGAACATACGGAAATTAAATTTATTTCATGATGTTTGATATTGAGAACAAAAACCTTTGTGTTTTATATTAAGTTCCATTTAGGTCCGTTCAGCGGTTTACTAGTGAAAACGTAACAAACAGACTGACAAACCGATGGACTTTCGTATTTATAACAATGGTTTTGGATTTTTCTCCATCACGAAATGGAGAATACGTGAAACAGTTACCTATTGCGATATCATTGGTTCTTTATTTATATCTTTTCATTGTAACAGAATATTTTCGTTCATTTAACATCGTACGAAATATAAATTATAAGAATGTACCGTACCTATATGTATTTGTATAACGTCATTGGATTCGGTTACTAAAGCAAACATTAAATAAGACTTTGCACTATACGTTTAACGCACCGTCATCATGATTTTTTGAATGGAACTAAACGAAAACGACTCACTTGAGCACTGTGATCAATTTGAGGTAGCAACCCTATTGGATAACTGTAATACCGATCTCTATTGTACACTCGCTAATTCTTTGATAATCATTAATCGTTTCCTATTTATGTACCTACATGATATTGAACTATTTTATCTTGTTTTTGTACTATACATCAGTGTAAAATCTGTAGGTAAAAATAGGTCACTTATATAATTATCACTTCATTTTTACTACATTATTGTTATTATAATAATCTTGAACACTTCGCAGCGCCATCTAGTTCCAAGCTATAGTTATAGGCACTAGACTACTGACATAAATACTTTTTATTGTAAATAAATACATAATATACTTCAAAACTCAGAGACCAATACAAACAATCATACTCCGTACTTAAAACCCGCACGAATCCACAAACATCAGATGCAAGGCGGTTTGCTAAACCACTAGATTATAACGTGCTCGTCAATACCTACATATATTTTGGTAATCTCAAAAAGAGAGTTTAGAATTACACATAAACAACTTGTGTTAATTGTTGTATGTGTGTTTATCTCGAGGACTGAAGGAGCTGAAGTAGTAGTACACAAGTATATCTTTAGACACTGATAAGAAATTGTGCCATGTCATGACGACTTGCAAATTCACTGAACACTGTATTACTCTAAATCCTATCGTCCATACCATTGCATATTCCCACTATTTTCTCTAAAGGCGTATCTGTAAGGCGGGAGTTGGCTTTCATCCGCTCCATAAGTGCTTTGGAGCTTCATCTACACTCACCCCCTATCCTCCTGTGAAGCTGTAAAAATCAGCTGCGGCCAACAACATTAGAGTAGTCCGAAAAAAAACATTTTACTGTCCACTTTTCTCAAGTAACATAGCCAATCAGCCAATCAGTTTTGTTTTGAGATTTGTTTCGGTTGAAGGATGATATAAGTAGTGTAATCATATGATACGGAAGCATGATATTTTAGTCCTCTGGAATAGCAACAGACGAATGTATATTCTATATCAGAAAAACTTTACGTTCCACTGTAACTCGATATATTGCGCTTCATTTGTTTGGCCGTATGAAATGTCATACTTATTATATTTCTTCAATTGAATTGATACGGTGAACACCAAGTGATAAATAAGGTATTTCATATCTTTTACAGATATATGTACATTATTTCCCTCCGATCCTTTCCGATCGATCCCCCGTCCAATTCAAACGGGGATCGAAATTACGATGGCCTGACCCGAGGTTCGAACCCCTAGAGGTGCCCTCAGACTAAAGTCGTATCCGTCAGGTGGGAGTTGGCCTTCAGCCGCTCCATAAGTCCTTTCGTGAGTTTGGAGTGCCATCTACACTCGCCCCCTATCGTTCAGTAAAGCTGTAAAAATGCTGCATTAGTCCGAAAAAAAAACTCAACTTCAACTCCGAAAACAAAAAACTCAACGAAAAAAATGTATGTTATTTTACACATTTTGTACACAAATTTGTTTTGATCAATGGGATGATACGACTTCTCAGTTATAACATGTTTATAGTGTAAGGGTCCTGCAAGTTACAAGTTCTAAGTACACATATGGATCTTACAGTAGGACCCACTTGTGTAATTACAACTTTTATAATTATCATCTCTCCTAATACCTGAGGAACTTGAAACGCAACAAGGCCGTGACCCCGCCTTGGGGTCATCACCCACATATTGAAAACAATGTCATGTTAAATAAACATACGACGCTGGTTAATAGCGTTAAACTAAGTTTTTAATTCTATTAAATACTAGACAAACTGATGGTCCGCCTGATCTTATAATTAATGTTAATAAATAATAAACCACAATATTGGGTATTATGATTTAATTTTTAAAACTTTTCCGATTTAACCTCCGAGATAAAAAGACGGGTGTTATAAATTATACTTATCTATGGCATTGGTTGAATATACCGATATTGATGAGTTTTTTTTTGTTTGAAAACGTGATCGAAACAGGTTTCTTTCCTGCTACAATTTTTACATATATTGACTATATTGATATAGAAACTTATGATGTCAGGCGTATACTATAAGAAATCACGTGTATAATAATGGTTTTAATCAATTATGTTATTTCCCACTTTGTTCATTAATTGTGATTGTCATCCACATAATTGCTTTTTATGTCACTAGGCGATTTTTATTTTAAATTCATCTTTATTTTCAACAATCATGTCATGTATTTATTTTTAGTAATAAGTGTATACTGTAGTGATAATACAACTTACAGTAGATTTGACATATCATAAGAGACATTAAAGACCTATATGAATAAAGATATTTTGATTTGTTTTGTAATCCAATATTCTCTTTTCCCATCCCACTACCTGTATCTCGGCTTGTGTCCAGTATAGGCTATGGTTTCTTACATTAATGTAGCTCTGAGCGGAATGAGATTGCTAATTATGGAGACTAGTAGTCTCATTGCTACCTATATATGCTATAATGTCATATTAAAATTGTGGTTAATTCCTGGTAAATTTGTCACGATGAATTAACTGACCTGACCTCATGCTTATCTTATCTTATCACTGGCGCCCATTCTACGGAATACCATTAGTGCACTGGTATGATGGGTATTTCATTATTATTGCAGGCACCATTCCATTATAATATATAATTAATCTAGCTGGTGCCAGCGACTTCGTCTGCGCAGGATTAAGACTTCGATATTCAGACAATCTATTTATAAATTCTTGCCTATGTATTATTTTATTGTAAAAGCTGTACAGATTCATTAAATTTTTTTAGTAGTTTTTGCGTGAAACGAAAATAAACATCCATACGTCGATACAATATGAGACAGCTTTCCGAACGAGTGGTAGATAAAAAACAAATTGTTATGACTGTTAAAATGTGCTTAAATTAAGTTTATTTGAATAAATGATTTTCTATTTTATTCTATACATACAAACTTTTGCGTATATAAACTTCTGTAATACTAACTGAACCGCGCAACTTGGTCTGGATCACACTTACTTGACATGTTTTGTTATATTTCGACGACCTCGGTGGTCTAGCGGTCTAGTCTACCGCTTTCCGACCGATGGTCGCGGGTTCGATTCCTTGCACGGCACAAACATTTGTATTCATGAGTATGATTGTTTGTATCGGTCTGGGTATTTTCTATGTATAATATGTATGTATTTACGAAAAAAAAAATATATATCTATGTATTTGTATCAGTTGTCTAGGACCCATAACACAAGCTTTAGCTAGCTTAACTTGGGTCTAGATGGCGCTGTGTGAATTGTCCTGAGATTATTATTATTATTATTTCGCTCAATTTACATAATATCTGTTTTTGTATAGCCTATGTGTTAACCCAATGTATAAGCTATATTATTGTAAATTGTTATTGAAATCCATTGAATAGTTTTTGCGGGATAGGAGTAACAAACTTTCTCGTTTATAATATTAGTAAGATGAATAAGGTATGCTTACAATGTATTTTTTTACAGATGTTGTTCACGATGAGATCTCATCAAATGCTTACCGACGTGATATTGGAAGTGGGCAATGAGCTGTTCCACGTTCATAAAGTTGTGCTAGCGGCGGGTAGTCCCTACTTCAAGGTTAGCTTATGTTTATTCAAGTTTTGAAAAACTTTTTAAATAATTGTCTCTCTGGAGAAAATCTCATCATGTAGCTTAATTTTTTTGTTTATAAATAATAAAACCCATGAACCCATGGAATGTTACGATTACGTACGTCCTATTTTTTAATTGAACGTTATGGGAACTGTTGATATGTATTACCTAATGATATTGACAAATGGAAAAATAAAGAACAGTAAAAAAATTAATAAATACACTACAAGAAAGGAAGCAATGTAAAAGAAATAGGTATACAATATCAATATATACAGATTTTTTTTACTTTTAAAATATAAACCTAGCAAAGGATCATAAAACGTACAAAGTATAATGTTTCTACAGGCTATGTATACAAAAATATCAATATTTGCAGTTTATACATTTTTGCTATCGTCAGAACTATTCTTTTTACTTTTAATAAGCAAACGATCATAACATATACATACAAAATGTAATGTTTCTACAGGCGATGTTTACAAGCGGGTTGAAAGAGAGTGAAATGTCTAGGGTGCGGCTGCAGGGGGTATGTCCCTCGGCGATGGCGTGGCTAGTGTACTTCATGTATACGGGCAAAGTGAGGATCACAGAGGTCACCGTCTGCCAGTTGCTGCCAGCTGCTACTATGTTTCAGGTATGAAGAAATTATAATTATAAACCTTTTTATCTTTTTTATTTATTTATAAGTGACTGTAGAAGTCACTAATCTATCGACATTAGAAGAAATAGTTGAAATCTCAGCTATTCTGCACATATAATATGCATGTTTACATACAAACCTTCCTCTTGATCACTCTATCTGTTGTTAGAAAATGCATTAAAATCCGTTACGTAATTTGAACGATATAAGCGTAAAGATAGCGGTGGCGACTTGGTTTTGTGTGTACAGAAAGATTAGGTAGTAGCTCTAATATTAGTAGTTTACTACCCTAAATTACACTCAAAAGGCCGTTAGTTCAAATCTGGATGACACCAAACCAAATTGTGTGAATTCATGACTCTTCGTTGAAGAAAACACCGATGTGAAACCATCAAAACATATAGCTATATATAACAGATAGCATTAAGGTCGCCTCTTGCCACAATGTTCTCCAAAAATACTGAGCGAAATGTGCGCGTGTTAACTGTTGCGTTCACCATATCATTAACAGTTGACAACGTCTCTGACTACCCCATCTCGGTTAGGTAGTGTCGTATGTTTTTTGTTTTATCTTTTAGACATGCTAATCCATTATTACTAATCATGTAATACGTAACATTACATCGTTAAAGTTGTGATGTTTACTGATAAGCAATGGGTTATTTTGTTACATATCGACGCAACAGACATCCTGGCATTTGACGTAGATACTGATTGAGTTTTTATTATGCGTGGCTTTAAAGCGATGAGGTAAACAAAAATATATAGATATATATATATATATTGAAAGAATGATAATGGAATGTTGCATCCGCCGGCGCTAACTGACTATGCTGGTGGAACACCAGTGAGGATGATAAGCTGAAGATGATGTCAGGTCAGTTAGCCTATTATGACAAATACGCCAGGAATTTATCATGTTAGTTTTCAGGGTAATGTACCTGACATGGTACATTGCTAGCAATAGGGTCAACAGTCCATATTACTTACAATCCGTTTCCCCCCACAAAATTATATTTATTGTACAAAACAAATATATTGTACTATCGGTTAAGCTGTTTCTAAGATTAGTGCTCAGACAAACAGATATAATCTAAATAACAGTTATTTAGATTATTTCTTAAAGTTTGTTTTGTTTTTGTTTGACGGCCTCGGTGGTCTAGCTGTTTGGCACACTTTCACTCCAATGGTCGCAGGTTTGATTCCTCGCATGGTACAAACCTTTTATTAATGAGCACGGTTGATAGTATTGCTCTGGATGTTTTCTGTTATATTATGTAAGTATTTACAAAAAAAAAAGTATCTATGTATTTATACCAGTCTAGTGCCCATTACACAAGCTTAGCTTACCTTGGGACTAGATTACGTTGTGTGAATTGTCCTGAGTTATTATTTAATTATTTATCATCCATTAACAGACAGCGATCAGTTGCATATTTATTATATGTAACTGATATAATTATATCTATTATCGCATAGCTATGTAACTCAACTTATGTACTTAGCAACGTATCATTAAATTAGTCACACATACATAATATTGTTATATTTTTATTGTCTACATATAGTAATATTATAAAGAGGTAAAGTTTTGTTGTTCTGGGTAAATTTGTGATGCCTTATCCAATTTTCAACGTTCTTTTCGTGTTAGATAGCCCATTTATTATTTAACGGAGAAGGCTATATGTATATAGCTTATATATACCTTATAGGCTATGTAACATCACGTTAAAAACTGGTGCAAAAACGGGAAAAATGTGGCACAGACGAATTTGCGCGAGTCCCGCCATAGAAATATATTGCAGTGACCACGATGTATGCATCTATTACGGATTTATATCTTCTGGACTAAGTTTAGCCTTATCTTATTTACACAAACCTTGCTAAGTAAAAACATAGTTGGAGTTACTTCGTCAAATAACAGTTATTTGACTAAGTAGCTCCAACTATGTTTTTACTTTTTATTGCGTTGCCTAATGTAAGTAGTAATGATTCTTTCTTTCTAACTATAAAATCAGTAGTCCTGACCACTACCATGTGAAGCATTAAAATCTCCCTACGTTTCTTGGTAATTCCGCCATTGCGAAGGTGGTCAGATCTCCGCATAATATCAATAAAGCGAAATAATATCAATAAATTAATAAAATTGACTTCGCCAAAATAACAACTGATTAGCATCAACGCGATGAAATAAAACGGAAGTTCAGAATTTCAATACGGACATATTTACTTGTGGTTATGGTAAACACTTAGGATTTGTTACCATATGGTGTGATGTTAATCCCTACTAAAGTCTGTTATTGAACGCCTCTTTAAACAAAGTTTTAATGATATTACACACAATCATGTTTGTGCCTAAATGTGTTGAAGCTGATATCATAAAATTCAATTTTACTTTATAAATTTTTGCAAGTCATGATCTGACGAATTGTCGCGCACGGTCGCGCTACAATAAATATTGCAGTGTTTTCGTTTGTTGCTATACTCTAGTCATCTCGGGCAGTACCTAGTCACGTACCACCAATGACGTGGAAAAGAAGACCCTTCGCTGTAGGATTTTTTTTAATGAATGTATATGTAATGCTATGTTGCTCCCGTGCTAACGGTATACTCTAACCATCCATTAATAGAGGATATCAGGTCAATTAAACCCTCGTCGTACTAAATTCGCCAGGAATTAACCATAGTGTTTTTCATGGGATTCCAATGGACTGGATAATAATGATACCCACTAATATAGTCTTCTCGAATAGTAGTTACTACCTACTACTTTATTATCTACATACGACCAATCGCATGGGAGAACAAACACTGCGCTGTAATGGTGTAAAATCAGGGGTTATAACCCGTTTTATGTAACATAATGATAGTTTAGAAGGAGTTACGATAGCTATTATCCTTTCAATCATAATTAGTAGTAACGATTTTTTTAATCTCCTAGATCAAGGCTGTTCAAACCATTTGCAATCTCGCATTAACAGCAATATATGTATATATTGGAGGCTGACGAATACAAATACACACATTCCGTCATACAAATACACGTTTCGGTTATTCCCCGAATGATAGTGACTTAAAAAACTTATATTACATGCAAATATTTCTTTCCTTTATTTGGGATGGCAAAAAAAAACGTTTTTCCAAAATAATTTGCCTAGTAGTCAAGAATTAGCAGGCCGTGCTCCTTTTACTAGATCAATCATTCTTTTACATAAATCAATTACATTTAAATATCCGACACCGTATCCTAGTTTTTTTAATAGATGATAATGAAATGGTGCACTAGATTGCGCTAACGGTTTACGCTAGCGGGAAACTACTTAAGGTCATAATATGAGCATGAGGTCAGGTCAGTTAGCCCATCGTGATAAATTCACTCCTGGTTGAATTTAACAAGATGGTATCCAAGGGGAAGCGCGTAGAGGTCAACCTCACATGGTATATTTCTAGTAATGAGATTATTAGTCCACATTACAAATAATATACTTCCCATAACTTATTCTAGTTATTGTATTGAGAATGATGTCAACTGTAATTTTCGTCAAATGTCAACCTGTGTATTAAAGAATCAATCGGCTATCAACAACTTACCCTGCTTGTTTATAGCTGTTTTAAAAGACTGAATTTCTAAATGAAACTATATACTGAACCTCATATTAGTATTATATATTAACTATATCACTGTATGAAGTATATATATGTACATAGCAATGACTTATAAGATATACCGAGATCAGAACACTATCACAATAAAACATAATTTAGTATATTCAAAATGAAATCAATGGCAACACACTAGCAAACTAAATGTATTCTAGCTGTTTGCTGACAGATATCGAACGTAATAGAGGCTTGCTGCGCGTTCTTGGAGCGCCAACTGGACCCGTCCAACGCGATTGGTATCGCCAACTTCGCGGAGCAACATGGCTGCTGTGAGCTCAGACAGAAAGCTAACACGTTTATCGAGAGGCATTTTACGCAGGTAAATATTATTATATGTAAGTATATAGCAGACCCGACCACGCGTTGCTGTGGCTAAGGTTCTTGAAGAATACAATATTGTGTGCATATCAAATTTGCAATCGGTTCAATAATTTAGGAGTCTATTGTGGACAAACTACGTGACACGAAATTGTTATATATAAAGTTATATATTATTTAAATAATCGCAAATAAGATGTGTAAGTAATATGTAGTATATTCATAATTGTTAAAGATAATGTTTTTTGTAAGAATTTATTTTTAACAGTCTCGGAAGTCTATCCATTTTGCACACCGCTTACTTCCGATGATTTCGAGTTCGAATCTCCTGCTATATAAATATTTGTATTCATGAGTATGGTTGGTTGTATACATTGGAACAATTTCTATGTATATTATATACGTATTTAACAAAATATAATCATATTATCAGTTGGTTAGGTTAGGTAGTGTAGTCGGGTTAGTTCCGGCGGGACTAGACAGTAACTAATATTATACTACTCCTAAATTATTTTATGTGGTACTCTAAATAATTTTAATTGTATTCAACATTGAATTTGTAAATAATTTACTAAGAATACAAATTAAGTCAGTGGTACAATTGTATAATAACTTTAAATACTTAATGAATTGGTTAAATGTCATTAAATGGAATATTTTACAAAAAAAACGCTTCAACAATAAAGGGACACCTATATACAAATTGTAATTTTCGTACCGTGGAATCCAGAAATAATAGAAGTTATTTCTTGATTTTCTAATTGAAATCGGTTTTTTGAGAAAGTACATTGTTCTTAATACACAATCAGAATAATTAATTATTTCTAATATTTCAATACAGGTATGTCAAGAGGAGGAATTCCTGCAACTGACCGCACCCGAGCTTATCTCTCTCATACGCAAAGATGAACTGAACGTTGGCGAGGAAAGGGAAGTTTACAACGCAGTCTTGAGTTGGGTTAGTTTTAAAACTACATGTCTATTGATAATTAGCTAACTAATGAAGTGACTCGGCTTCGGACGAGTGAAATTATTGTAGTAATCTCTTTTTGTTTCAATGCTATCTATAAATTACGGCACACGTAAGGGGCGAAGGGAAATGGTTCTAAAATTCGTGATGTCATATTCTAAATAATTGAATTTTGAATTGAACTATTAACGAAAGACTTAAAAAATATCAACTTTATCTGTATAAGCATAAGGTTTCAATTATTTTTTTGTCGAGTTTACACTCAATAAATATTTTTACATCTATATAACTGAATATATTTCGAACAATGTTATATGGACTTTGATCGTAATGTTATGGGTTGAAATTATTAACAAATATAATGTGAATCAATAACATAATTTACTAATCAAATATACTTCTATACTTGTAATTTATAACATGATAAATATAAAGTACGTATTAACAACTATCTCACGTTCATCATCGTTATTGCATTATTGGAAGCGAACAGATAATTTTATTACAAGTCATCTTATTTAAAACAATAAAGAAATAATTGAAATTCATCCATTGCTGTCAACTAATCATGTACCTACTATAAATAGATTTTTCTTTGTAACTAGAATAGTAAAGAGACCTGCGGACCACACGATGGAAAGTCAGCCGGCTATATACATGAACCAGCATCACATATATTTACGTCATCATTTGTTTCGTTCTGGGGATAAAGGCATCGTGCTGGGGGACAATTCCCTAAATTGTTAGTAATGTGGACTGATGATTTCATTACTAGCAATATACCATGTCAGGTTGACCTGCACGCGGTTCCTGCTGGAAACCATCGTAATAAACATCATCATGATAACTGACCTGACTTCATACTCATCTTATCATCCTCCACTGGTGCCTCGCCAAAGTAAACCGTTAGCGCAGGCGAGTGCACTATTCCATTATCTTTCATCTACGGCGCCAAGCCTTATCCAGGCCTCAATATCAGGGAAAGGGGGGTTTGATATCGGTTATTATACATTATGTATAAAAAATACATATTCCAATAACACCTACTTATCAGATTTGATAATAACTAACTGCCTTTATTCGACACTACATGCCCGCGCTACGAGCGCGCAATCGTGAGTGATAGCATTTTACAATATTTTTGTGATCACTACTTCGCGCTTGAAAGTGCTTATGTTTCAAATCATTTCACTTCAAAATAAATTAAATATAATTTATTTTTTTAATTCACAGATTTTGTTTTTTAGACACGTTTACAAATATCTTTATAGTTCGTCCTCCATATTGCCCTAAAAATTTAATATTACAAAAGCACTCACGTATGAAATACGGGGTACCTAATCCGAGAACTGACGGCACACATTGTATTTGTTACAGTCTACAGTTACAAACACATTTTTTACGTGTAAAGGCAATTAGTCTTGATTATTTGTATTTACTACATTTCGATCTAATTACTGGTCGCTGTTCTAAATTTTTTTTATATTTATAATATTTATTTTTATTATTACAGGTCAAATACGACGAGGATCGGCGGCATGCACGTATGGAGCACATTTTAAAAGCGGTGCGATGTCAGTACCTTACGCCAAACTTCCTGAAGGAGCAAATGCGTACCTGTACTGTACTAGAGAAAGTTCCCGCTTGTAGGGAATATTTAGCTAAAATATTTAAGGTAGGTCCCTTTTTTTAGTTACAGTCCTTACTTATATGCTAATGAGAAAGTGTGTCGATCGGAGTGTCTGTTTGTTACCTTTACATGACTAAACAGCTGAACGATTCCTAATGAAATTTGATACATGAAGATAGTTATTATTATTGAAAAACGCAGTCTATGCTTATCCATACTGCTTCATCAAATATATAAATTTATCGTGTCGCGATATTCGTTACCAAACTCTTCCGAAACGGCTTTACCAAATTTTATGAAATTTTGTATTCATATCGGTTAGGTCTGAGAATCATGCCACATCTATGTTTCATATCACTCAATGATAAGCGTGACCCACACCTAAATATTTATTTTATGGCGAAATTTATTGTAATTTTTTTTATGATACGGCATTAAAAATACTGTATGTATTTTTAATACCGTATCAAAAAAAAATTCGCCGTGTCATTGCCAAATACCGTATCATAAAAACCTTTCATTTCATCCTTGTGCCATCAACCTATATTTTTTGATAGCGAATTTAATTTAAATGTAAAACAACGTTTGCGGGGTCAACTAGTAATGTATAATAATTGTTTGTTTTAGGATCTCACACTGCATAAAAAGCCTGTAGTAAAAGAACGGCGGCCTAACACGCCTCGTATCATATACGTGGCGGGCGGCTACTTCAGACATTCCATAGATGTGTTCGAAGCGTTCAATTTGGACGATAACTGTTGGACGACGCTACCAACGCTCACCGTGCCGCGGTCTGGGCTTGGTGCAGCATTTCTCAAGGTACCATGCAAGTATATTAATAGAATATTCATTTCATATTTCATCACTAAATTATATTATAATAATAGAAAATTGTTAATTTAAAAAATCAACATATTATTCATAAATATTACGAAGTTTCACTGTTTGTTGCAATTCCAGTATTAGTTGGTATAGTGAATAAGATGTTCAGTTGTTTAAAGTAGTAGTCAACTTTATATATATTTTAAAATATATATATTTTATATTTATATTTTAGCTAGAAGAGATAAGGCCACCCTAGCTCATATTATTTTTCCTAACAATTCTTTTTATATTTCCATCCCACTAAAGTCATCTAATACTTCCTCATATAGTGCGTCCATAGCAAGTATGAGTAATAATGTAGTAATTGATAAACAGGGCCTGTTCTACGCGGTGGGAGGGCGCAACACTTCGCCGGGCTCATCGTACGACAGCGACTGGGTCGATGTGTACAATCCCGCTCTCGAACTTTGGCGCCCATGTAGTCCCATGTCTACGCCCAGGCATAGGGTAAGTGAATTAATAGTTTATTAGTTTTATTAGATTGTTTAATATTTTTAGTTCATTGTCATCTTTTATGTCTTGAATTCCGCAAATAAATTATAATAATCATCTGTAATATTCATTTATTGTAATAAATACTTTAATATTTATATTAAATCCGGCTCGAAGAACTTACTTCAGGGCTGATGGCGTAAGAATGCACTTAGCAAACATTTCTTTTCATCCATATAACGATGAAATACGCTAGTAGAAAAACAAAGCGTAGTACATGTTGATATTGAATCCTATGACCAGAATTATAAAGAGTTATCTCACATGTGATTATTAATATTCTACTTTAAAACTAAAGATATAAAGTGTAATGTTGGATGTTAATAATATGTATAGCCTATAATACAAAACCTAAGTTGACTAATATTGTGGGCACCTTATATTTTCTTCATATTCTAGATTGTTATTTTAATATTTTTCCCTCTCTATTTACAGGTTGGAGTAGCTGTGATGGACGGGTTATTATATGCGGTTGGTGGGTCATCTGGATCGGAATACCATAAATCCGTTGAATGGTAAGTAATAGATAGAATCTATTGTCTATTTTCACCCCATGTTCTTTACAGAGAACTGAATGCTATCTATTATAACAAAAATCTGTATCTTCATCAAGTTTTTTAACTCATATGTCTACGCGCTGATTCCAGGCATTAAAGAAGTAAGAATTACATTTTCCTGATAACGTGCTATTAACTGTAAAGTAACATAAGATTATTATACGAAGTGTTAATAAATAAAACAAACCAATAATAATAGTAGTAGAAAACATCTCAATAAATAGATTTATAAATAATCTCTGTCTTTACTGATCTCGTGTGTTATCAATTCGAATGAAAAAACACATGTAACATTTTAGCCGCTTATAAACGTCAGGTTTTTTGTATTATTATTTTTACCTACTGTCCAGTTCAGTAATAGATTCAATTGAGAAGAATCTATGCCAGCGGCACAGAACTGTTAAAACATTTACATTATATTGTTTTTATGCTATCGTTGCATGACTGATGAAACGCCGACACTTTTTGTTTCTTTTCACGATGGCAAACATCGACGTACATAATCAGGATCTTTACATATGTCTAATTGCCAACATTATTGCCACGTATTTACACTTGTATTTCTTTTATAAACACTCCATGATTTTACCACAGATAATTCAGCTTTTTATCGTCCATTAACACACTTCATTGAACTTCAATGACGATAATAAAATTATTCATTATCAAACAAATATTTGACCAAACACAGTATTATAATGAACTACGTGATAACGATAAAAATAATTGATTTTGGGGTGACTTGACATTTTTTAGAGGTATATCAACGCTTTCTTAATCTTTACAACTTAATTGGTATTGATTACGTATAAGATCTGATAAAATGTATCAAAACATTTGACGCATTTAAAGTTTGTTGTCGCAGTTGTTATATATGTAATTGCTGATACCAGCAACTGGGGAGTGCGTTTGTGTTCCAAATTTATGGTATAGCATAAAACGGTAAAATGCATGTCAGACATGCTCATTGATGGTCCTTTAAAATATTTTTTATAGGTGTATTAACAGATAATAATAGTTAGAATAGATACATACTATTGTTCAATAATATGATTAGGATTTAGGTACTTTGTTTAACAGAGCATCATGAAACTATCAATAATATTGTTAGACAGTATTATTAAGTAACTTACAAAGATCTATCTAATACCCAACAGCAATGCTTACGAGACTAGATACGAGAGTCATACTTAAGTAAGTGTAAAATTAATCAATACAATTGTATTGTAAGCCTAATACCTAGCATCTTGCGAGGACTCGAGCCCGCGACTGTGGGAAGTAAAGCGGTGTGGTAAATCCTACGCTACGGAAACCGTGAAATATATACTAATGTTACAAAGTTGAAGAGTTTGTTTGATCGAAAGCAGCTCAGGAACTACTGGTTCGTATTGAAAAAATATTTTTGTGTCGGATAATCCATTCGTCCATAGTCCGTAAACAAGGTGGCGAAAAAATATGTATGAATTTTTTGATAATCACACGAACGAAGTCGACGGCACGGCTAGTGTTAATAAAAGGTGTAACGTACTGCAGCTACGACCCGGAGCGCGACTCGTGGACGACCGTGGCGTCGATGCGCAGCGCGCGGCTGGGCGTGGGCGTGGCCGTCGTGAACCGGCTGCTGTACGCGGTGGGCGGCCTGGACCGCGCGCGCCGCACCTCCTCCGCCGAGTGCTACCACCCCGAGAACAACCGCTGGACAGACGTCGCGCCCATGCGGGTCGCGCGCAGCGGCGCCGGTACCTGCCGCATCACTACATTACCTGTTTTTTATGGATGTAAATCGAATGGTGCACCCGCCTACGCTAATGGTTTACGCTGGCGGGGAACCTGTGGAGGATGAGATGAGGACGAGGTCAGGTCAGTTAGCCAATCGTGACAAATTCACCTATAATTTATCACGATGGTTTCCAGGAACAACCGCGTGGAAGTCGACCTGACATGGTACATTGCTAGCAATAAGATCATTAGTTCACATTACTAACGATCACCTTTCCCCCTACGATGGTTATGGTTTACACACGAAGCGGGAACCGAGTGTGTTAAATGAGTATATCGTATGACACTCGATTTAAACAAACTCAACCATAACACCTGTGATCCACACTGTGGTTTTCTTACAGGTTTACTTTTTTGAATCAACGCGTACTAGCTTGCGCCGCGTGGCGTTTAGTTTGCAATTTGATATAAGAAATGTAGCTATCGTACATTCTAATTTTAATTATCAGAGAAGATAAGTCTTTTGTGAAGACGTCAACATCTTGGTTCTTATCCCAAAATGAGTGCAAGAGATGCAATGCTCGAGCAGTGGGACAACTATAAACGTGGCTTGTACGGTTGTTGTATGATTTGAAAATCAGTACATAGCGTAGGCGTTGCTTGACTTCATGTAAGATTATTTCTGCCATTACTACCAGTTAGAGGGCGAGTGCAAACTCACGGAAAGACTTATGGAGCGGCTGAAGGCCACTCCTGCCCGACGAGCTGCCACTCTACGCATCTAGACAAATTTTGACAGTATACAATGAAACAGTAGAGAAAACCCCCTACTAAGCACGGTCGCTATTACTTTAATTTCAAATATATCATACATATTTGAAATTAAAATACTGACATCCAAGAAGCCATTACTACCAGTTAATTGCATGTGTATGTACGTTTGCAGGCGTGGCGGCTCTGAACCAGTACATCTACGTGGTGGGCGGGTACGACGGCGCCGAGCAGCTGAGTCTGGTGGAGCGGTACGACACCGAGCGCGACGTGTGGGACGCCGTCGCCTCCATGCGGGTCGCACGCTCCGCACTCTCGCTCGCCGTACTCGACAATAAGCTATATGCAATTGGTGAGCGTCACATTCTTTTTACATAACTGAAACAGCTTATCGATGTTCGTCCTATTAATTATTTCTCTAAACCTTTAAAAGAAATGTGTACTTCAAAATCTCGTTCATCTTTTTCGTGTGATCTGTTTTTCTTAGGCAGCATTGTGAAAGTTGTAATAATAAATTATATCTATAGTCTGGATTTTTTTCTTAGACGGTGGCATACAAGCACATGCCCCGTCGCATGGTAAACGGTTACCGTTTTAGTTAATTCTTCGCTTCTTGAAATACCATGCTGTAGTATCTCGAGAAAATCTCGACTCAATAAAGTACTATAGTCTCATACCTCACCTTTCAACCGAAATTTACAAAGCGATATGCTTGGCTGAAACCGACGAGACAGAGAGTCGAAGAACAAAGCATTCAAAGTACAAAGTCCACATAAAAGGATTGAATTGAAGTTAAAATATAATATTTGCTATAACAGACACGGTAGAACTAATTATGATACTTAATTATCAAATATTCTCTACTTAACAGGTGGTTACGACGGCACGGCGTTCCTGGACATAGTCGAAGTGTACGATCCAACAACGAATATATGGAGCGACGGCACGCCTCTGCCGTCGGCGCGGTCCGGGCACGCGTCCGCCGTGTGCTACCAGCACGTGCCGCTGCCCGCCGACGCGCAGCCGGACGCGGCCCCGGCCGTCCTGAAGCGCGTCTCGAAGAGGCCCCCGGGGCCCGGCGCGGGGCCCGGCGCGGGGCCCGGCGGGGGCGCGAGCGCGAGTGCGGGGCCCAGCCCGCAGCCGCCGCCCTCCACCGCGCCCCACCCCGCCCCCGCGCCAGGGCCCTCCGCCTCCTACCACGACATCCCCATGGCCAACAACATCATAGGCACGTTGTCCAATCACAACACCTCCTTATAGCGATCGCTCGTGACCGTGTGATATACCAGTGACTCTAATGGTGAAGTGATATTGTGTTCTATTCTGTTATTCAAAATTATGAAATGGAACGAGCTACGATTGACCGCCCATTCCCACCGGAATACATATAGTAAACCGTGTTTGCAATTTGTACTTCATTGTATAGACATTTACGGAAGCAATGAACATGTTTTTACATGTATATCAATGTTAGAGAATCGTAAGGTGATTCCGGTGATTTAGCCATATTGTTCCTAAGTCTTAATATTTGTTATTATATTAAGTATTGTTGTATTTTATTTTCTTTGCATTCTATCTCGAAATCGTGATATCAAATATAAAATATTGTGTAGGTTAATAATTAATATACACTGAAAGTATGTGCTTCCCTTAAGTTCGGCATCATTGTCTGTTATACGTGTTATTAGTTTAATTAATTTTATTAAAATAAAATTAATTAAACTAATAACACGTATTTGGTACATTTTTGGTTAAAAACATTGTTTATAGCGTAGTATCTTTTCCCACTATTATTCTCTTATTTCAAATTTTATATTATCAAAAAAAGAAAGAAATATAATGAATACTGGAAGGCATATGATAGAGTAGCATATAGACATCATAACAAACAGACAAAGTTACTTTCGCATTTATAATATTAAGACAAATTAATAAAATTAAAATGTAGCTAGTACTAATCTTAAGGGAGGTGCTCACTTAATCAACTAGTTATATTACAAATTTGTTAAGCATTATCTATTACTTAGTTTATAAAACCAAATTCTAGCCACGGAATTATTAACTTGTAACAAAATTAAACCAATGTGCAAAAAATATATTTTTATTCTTATAAAATAAGAATTAAAATATTTATTTACTTTTCAGAGGAATAAGCATAAGACTAAATGTACAGAAACTAAACTGGCACCAATGTTTTTTAATTAGCAAGCATATTTATTACTAGATTTGTTTACGTTGTGGTAAAGTACTGAAACATTACTGAATAATCATCTCATGAGCAACTAATTGATGTTAAAGACTAATTTGACTTGAATAATAATGTGACGACTACCATAAGAATTTATTTCAATTATCAAAATATAGCTTCAGTGTGTATATTATGTTTTCTTTAGTATTCAAATAAAAAACTGGTAGCCGTAATTCTGAGAAATATTCTATACCATTTAATTTTTTTTAAAGAGTAACTGATTGTTTTAATAGCTTATTATGAACTTATATTACTTTGCGGTATTGTACTAATTCCGTTACAAGTTATGTACTCACATTACAAGGTCTTATAAAATCAAGGAAATGAAGCCTATTATAAATAATCTTATCGACTGATTCTCTAGTCTATATAAAAAATAACACCCCTCACATTATACATGTACATTTATGTGATGAATTGAAAATATTTCATTGTTTTATTTCTTTAATTGAATTTTCATTCTTTATATATACATGCAGAGAAAAACATTAATAACAGTAAAGGTTTGTTTGTTTTGTCTTTAAGTTTACTCCAATTACGTTATAGGGTTAACCCTGTAACGGCTTGTAAGTGATATCGAAGTGTATACTCATATACTATATTGAATATTTTACAATGCCGAGTTATATTGATACATGTATTCAAAGAGCATTTAAATACATTGTATATACATTTAAAGACAAGTTAAAAATTGTCACCAAAACACAAATTCTATTGGGATATGATTTGGTTACGTCATTGGTAATTTTTTTAATTTCGGTAGACTGCTCCATTCGGCCGTTCGTTACTCATTATTTATGGTTGCGATACCACGATTTACGAATTTTCTTTTTTTAGATACCAATTTTTACCAATGTATTATGTAATTGGCCTGCGTTTATAAAAAAAATGTTCTCTAATAGTTGGCATGAAATTTTTGTTAACACCAATAGCATTTAAATTGATTTGTGATATTTTTCTTGGCCCCTTTACTTAAGTCACGATAAGGACGGTTTCCAATTAAAAAACTGAAAAGTTCAAATCCTATTAAGATTGTTATTTTGTTGTGGGGCTTATTAAACTTTCAAATATATGGATATAAATATACAGTACCATATCTTGATTAGGGTTTGTGACTAAAACTTGAATCGTCAGTACCTCTAGTAATGTAAGTCAAGGGGATATTTGATTTAAATATTGCATAGTAACTAAGTTTACGAATAAGTACTCCTTAGGTCATCTGGCTAGTTATTTAATAACAAAAGGACTTTAGTGCCTTATATGTGTAACTGCAACAAAACCGATCTGAACTATAAAAAACTATCCCATATATATATTATAGTATAAAAGCTCCTACTGCATGTATATATTACGCATATTTGACGTGGCTTCCACTATTGTTTTCAAAAATAATTATATTTAAGATAATGAAAATGTACATTATTCGTTTCTAGTTATAGTTATTACATAAGAAAATAAAGACTGTTATGGGAATATAAATATCGTTTTAATTCTTATTCTTTACAATTTAAAGAACAAAATAAATCAAAATGTAATCTAGCAGTTCATATTGTATACTATATGCAGCAAGGTGTATAAGGTGTGTTTTTGTCCCTTAAAAATGAATAACAAAATCAATAAACTTAATAATACTATGTAATATTATGTTATCTGTGATAATACATAATTATTTTCGTACATATACCTGATACTAGATACGAATGCATATGAACGGAAGTACATTACATGGCAAGCGACTGGAACACATCCATAATTACATAGTATAAAGTCGCTACCGCTCTGTCCCTGTGTATGCTTAAATCTTTAAAACTACGCAACGGATTTTGAAATGGTTTATTTTAATAGATAAGTGATTCTAGAGGACGGTTATATGTATAATATATGTACACCCCGGCGAAGCCAGGGCTCTCGCCCCGGCATCTCTTACTTTTCACAACTAAACGGCTGAACACATCTTAATTATATTTGGCTTGGCGTGAAACTATATGCATTGTATCACGGCAACAGACTAGGCTACTTTTTATCTCAAAACAAAGTTGCTAGTAGCTGTTAATTTTCATTATATTATTAAATATATAATTTTGCTATATATTTTTTATTTACAGCATTTTTGTTGATAATTGGAATCTATAAAGTACATATAAATGAGAAATAATCCTGCTGTTTAATTTGTAATACAAACATATTAAAATGGCTAAGCTTAATGGATTTAGTCGAAAGATATACAGATATAGTACTATCGTAGATTAATGCATAAAATACTTTCAAGACGCAAGTAAACAAAATTTAAAAGTCAACTTTTATTTTTAACATAAGTACACTTTGTACAATATTTCATACTCTGTTTGTACAAAAGAAATTACGCAGTGGTTACGCGTCACTTACAAATAAATTATTAAGATATAGTTTTCTTATATACGATCAGTCTAACTAAATATATAGAGTAGAGTTCTAGGTTTTAGATGGGGTAACTTTCCTAATAGTTCTCCTACGGCGCTTCACAAATATTCTTACATCAGGAGCATCGCCGTCATTCTGGGAATCTATAGTATCAGCAGTAGAAGAATGGTCGACCATTGATATAATATTGTCTGCAGGTACAACTCTGCTTTCATTTGGTTTACAACTTAATTCAGTTATTCTACAATTTGTGCCCTTTTCTAAACCACATAGTTGTAACTCTCTTTCAGGTGTTGAGGTAGCTAAAGCAATCATTGGTATGTCATGTGATTTTTGAATATTATTTTGGTAAGGTTCATTTTGAATATTGGAAACAATTTGTTGTTTCACATTTATCTGATCATTACCTACAGATGTATACTGGGGTTGAACTCCTGTAGAAATTATAATAGTTTTTACTATATCGTTTTTCATTTCCAATTTATCAAAGTGTGGATTATTACATTGAAGTGAATTTTCTATATTTATTTCTACTGTATTAGATATATCTTCGATATCTTTCTTTGGTTTTCCTTTCTTGATTTCTGTTATACTTTTTGGTACCAAATCATTTTTGATTTGTAACATTGCTGATATTTCATTGCTTTGAGTTTTTAGTTCAGGTGATGAAATTTGTATTTGTCTACCTTTTTTCACATTCACATCAACTGCATCTTGAGCATCTTCAAAGATCGGAATATATGTTGATAATTCACCTTTCCTTTGAGATACATTTAATCCTAAATCCTCGGGTGTAATTAAACTACTGCTATCCCCAAATAAATCACAAAATTTTGTCTTTATTTCCTCACAAACTGTGTCACCGTTTTCTGATTCCATTTTTTTATTACTTTTTTTTTCAATGTCCTCTTTTGGAGAAACTTCCTTAGATTTTTTTTGGGATCTGTGTGACCTTCTTTTGACAGCGCCTTTTAAACAACTCTCACTATTTTTAGTGGCAGAGGCTTTTTCAGTTTGTTTTTTGGTTATTTTACTAGATTGTTCATTCATAGTTTTATCTGATGAGTTTTGAATATTTTTATAGTTATCAGTTCCTGTTTCGTTCTCCTGACTCATAATGTTTTCCACATCAACCATATTTTCTGGTATAGGATCACTGGCTTCATCGCTTAGCTGTAAGTCGCCCTCTATTATTTTCCTAGTTTTAAATAAATTCTTATCATTAAATTTACTTCCAATTTCTTTACAATTATCAACATTCTCTAAGTTATCATGTCTGTTGACCTGTAATTGAGTTGGGTCTTTTTGACAATTAATTTTATTTGTACTATCAATGTCCAAGCTTAAAGGTAGCACATTTTGTGTATGACCTTCACTATTATTACGGGACTTTATTTTAGGAATTTTATATTTTAATTTAGTGCCATTATTGCAATGATATTCCGATTTTTCGCATTGTGATACTTTATTAATACTATCGAGGCACTGTGTCTGCTCGGTTTTCGGTTGGAATTCGTTATAAGAAGTCTCATAATTAGCAACAACTTCACTAGAAATACCTTCCTGGGTCTCTGATGACGGTATTTCGCCTGATTCCAATGATTGATTAGACACTGGATTTTCAATATCCTCATAGATTTCTTTAACGTATTCTTCAACATATTGCGATGGGTGCTGCAAAAGGGCTTCTGGCATATCAACCTTTTCAATATTCCACACAGACTTGTCTATAATTTCTAAATTGACATTCCTGCCTATAACTGTAGATAACACAGTTTTTCCATTCTCACTCTTCATTACATATCTTTTATTTGTAACTCTAGGATCATCAAGTTTAGTAGCCGCTGTACATTTTATTTCTGTAAATAAAAAACAAATATATTTCAATTAAATAACTTTAACTTTTAGTCAGGTGGGTTTTAATTGTATAATACTTATTAATCAATTGTTGTATAAGGATATCTTATAATAATTTGTTTGATATTTCATTAAATCATTATTTAACACCATATAGTAAAATTACTACTATTAGGAATATTCACAAATCAATAGCATATAAATCATACCTGTGACAGGGGGTACAGAGGTTGCGTCTACCGATATATAATCAGGTGATTGACAAGACTCGTTAGCTTCTAGTCCTTCAGTTATAGGATATCCTGTATTAATATCCGGTCCTTTCCCCCTTGGGTTTCTTGGGTTGATTGGTTCAATTTCATCATTATATTTACTAAAAGAATCAGTTTTCATGCGCTTAGTAGTTACTTCATCACAATCATTTACTATCTTATGTTTTCCTGATTGTCGTTCCGAGGGTTGATTCCGAAACTTTTCAGGATGATAATCATTGTAATCTTTATCGTATTTGGATCTTAAATCTATTCTCCTATCGAAGTGCTCAAATCTATCACGTGGGGGACTTTCTAAAACTCTTGTTCTTCCATATCTTTGATAGCGATCTTCCGGATAATCCCTAGTTGATTTCCGATGCGGCCTTTCTGGGCTGTAGTGTCTTCTATGTCGAAGTTCATAATTATCCTTACGCCTGTATCTATCGTCATCAGATTTTTTACTGGTCCGTGTTCTTGAATGAGTGTCTTTTGATGATTCATGTCGACTAAAATGTTTATCATCAGTACTTGAATTATCTGATAATTTACTCTGTTTACTATTATAACTTCTGTCACGACTCTTTCTCCTTGTATCATGTCTCAATGGCAACAAATCCTTTTTGTGTTTATTTACTTCTTCTCTGGAGTAATTATCTTCACATTCTTCATCTGAAACGAATTTGCTATATTCCCTGAAACAGTCATGAAAATGTTAACATTTTTCTTTGAATAACTATACAGCACCTTTCTATAGTACCTATTTAAATAGAGATATGATAAAAGAACCGAGTCATCGATTTTTAGTCTATACAGTTACTAACTTGTAATATAAAATATAAATATGTGAATATCTACTATGATATAATGTACCGCAGTTTCCACTGGAACGGGATGTAACACAAATTAAGTGAGAGGAAATTCTAGTCCAAAATCTAATAAGAACATAGAAACCATTCAATTGAAATTTATATTAAATCACAACCAAAAATAGTTATATAGAGAGAGACTGTAAAAACTCTGTGTGGATATCTCAGTCTATCTCAGCCACCAAGCAACTTGTTAGAAAGCTATCTCAGGTCAGGTTAGGCAGTGATATTACAATATAAGAGGCATGGCATCACAGTCCTCTGGAATTGTAACATCAGAGTGGTATTACGGGTGTTATAAAATAATGTGATGTTCAATATAATGCTGTTATTAGATTGTTTCTACGAAAAATAAAGTATCACTGAGCAGTCTAATAACAAAGTTAAAATTTACCTGTTTGCTGGCATTGACTTCCGCCTATTACTAATACTGCATGGTTTACGTTGAGTTTGGTGTGTATCCTTATCTGTGTGCATTTGTTTAATATTCTCTTTAACATCACTAGCACTCTCAATTGTTAATTTAACTTGTTCTATTTTGTTGGAAACATTTGCTACTTCAATAGTAGTATCTCTATTAACATTGGTAACTGTATCTTCAGTTGAAGTCTTGCTTTGGTCGGACCTACAAAGATTTTTAGTTAGTACGAAAAATAGTGTTGAATATAAAAATATATACTATACAATACAATTTTATACAACATTTAGTAAGTACCTTATAGCACTGGGATTGTTTGACTTCAGACCATCAGGTACATTTGTTATATTCTTTTTTTTTGTATCATATTCAGTGTTTTTATTTATTTTATTATTGTTTCTTTGAATATTTAATAAATTTTTGTTCATTCTTGAATTAAGAACTAGCATATCCTTCCTGAAAATGAAAAATTAAATTTTCGATATATGAGAAAATTAACAAGAAAATAAATTTACAGTACCACAAAAAAATGTTTCATACACAAATGGTAATGATTGATAACCACAACATATATTAAATATTTTATTATTTGTGCCTCCTATTTTTCAGATTACAAGTGCTAACTGCAATTATATCTATACTACAATTTTTCTATCTGTCTGCATAATACTTTATTATGAAACAAATGATATAAAAGGGATATATCAAATGATATGAAACTCCTGATATATAATGTAAATTGTAAACAAAACTACAGTGAAAAGTTCAAAACAATGTTTAATCATTTGTGGATTAAACTCTGTCTACATTTTTTTAAACATTAGTATGATTTATAACTTTGAATATAATATATAATGATGAAATTAAGTGTAGGCTAAACAACTGCTGTTCCAGATTCATGGTTTATTTGACAATATAAAAACTTACTCTTTATTAAGGTTGGTAATAATCTGGGTTTTCCTCTCTACCTCTGCTCTGGCAGTTTTAAGTAATGATGAGTAGTTACTTTCCAATTTTGAATACTCCAATGTTAATTTGTCAAAGTCCTGCAAAATATTCTAAAATTTCAATGCACATCCGTCCATAATTATAATGTTATGGCAGATTTCTGAGGAGTGATTATATAATATTTAGTTAGACATTACAGTAACAATAAAGAACCTAGTGCACATTGCACAGTGCCATCTAATTCCAAGAGACACAGCTTGCATTTGGACACTAGGCAACTGTTGTATATATGTACATAAGATCATATACCCAGAAACAAGATCAGATTATCTGAATAGATGAACCCATAAATACCAATATTTGTATTGTGCAGAGCTCAAATCAATGATCATTGTGATATAAGATTATGTAATTGCTACAGAACTAAGTTCAACAAAATTTATCTCCATCTACCATATTATTTGTCATATAGAAGATGTGAATGTAGAAGAAACTATATTAGATGTTGAGTAATTAATCACATTATTAATAGATAAACCTTTATCATGAACCACTCTATTGGGGGAAAGGGGATTCTTAGTAATGACCCCATTGCTAACAATATACTATTCAGTTTGATCTCCACAAGGTTCCCTTTAAAAACCATCATGGTAATTCTTGGTAAATTTGCCATGACGGGCTAGTTAGCCCAGGGCAGTTGCCCTGACCTCGTGATTATCTTATCATCCTCCTCTGGTATCCCACCAAGGTAAACTGTTAACGCAGTTCCAGGTTGCAGCAGGTTCCTAAACGCCATTCCATTATCATACATTAAATTGCCTCTCTGAAAACTGCATTAAAATCTGTTGCAAAGTTTAAAAACAATAGTAGTGAATTTTTCTCTATGTAATAGCCCAAGAGCCCACGACTGCCAGACATACGTCATTTTAGTAAACGTGAAAGTTCTTGTATGTGTGTCCCCAACACAGGTAAGAACGATCCCCAAACATGAAACCTGGATCGTGGTTCCTTTGGCAGGTACCAGGTAACAAAGGTGTAAAAAAAACCATATCAAATTCGTTATTTTAAGAAACTCCATATTTTCATATATTGTTTGTAGCATTATTCTAACTTGCGCTGCTCATTGCCAGACACTTAGTGTGGTTCCAACCCCCCGCCGGACCCCCCTAAACTATACTATTTTAGAAATAAACTTACGTCATTTTAATAAAGCTGAACTTTATATATATTATTGAGAGAACTATTAAACTGAGTTTCCTAAATTGCCAGACAGTTTTCTTGGTTCCTTATCCTACCAGACTCATTGAAATCGTATATTGGGTAACAACGGTGTATACAATTTCATATCAAATTCGTTATTTTAAGATGCTCCATTTTGTCACATATTGCTCGTAACAGTATTATAACTTGCTCTGCTCATTGCCAGACCCTTAGTGTGATTCCAACCCCCTGCCGGACCCCCCTAAACTATTCTATTTTAGAAATAAACTTACGTCATTTTAATAAAGCTGAAATTTATATATATTATTGAGAATTCTCTCAAACTGAGTTTCCTAAATTGCCAGACAGTTTTCTTGGTTCCTTATCCTACCAGACTCATTGAAACCGTATATTGGGTAACAACGGTGTATACAATTTCATATCAAATTCGTTATTTTAAGATGCTCCATTTTGTCACATATTGCTCGTAACAGTATTATAACTTGCTCTGCTCATTGCCAGACCCTTAAGTGTGATTCCAACCCCCTGCCGGACCCCCCTAAACTATTCTATTTTAGAAATAAACTTACGTCATTTTAATAAAGCTGAAATTTATATATATTATTGAGAATTCTCTCAAACTGAGTTTCCTAAATTGCCAGACAGTTTTCTTGGTTCCTTATCCTACCAGACTCATTGAAACCGTATATTGGGTAACAACCGTATATTGGTATATGGTGTATACAATTTCATATCAAATTCGTTATTTTAAGATGCTCCATTTTTTCACATATTGCTCGTAACAGGACACACATACAAGAACTTTCACGTTTACTAAAATGACATATATCTGCCGTCGTGGGCTCTTGCTCTATAAAGATGATAATAATTTATAGATGATAGCAACCATAAATTTAAGTTTCCTTGTAAATAATATATTGTTATATTGGTTTCATACAGCAACCACCTTTTGATCTATGATTGGTCATTTTCACTTAAAATATTTTTTCTGATATCAACATAAACTGATAGTGGGGTGTGGCTGATTAAGAGAAGGATAATAAAATGATATTGATTTAATAAATAATAAACTGATACTTACTTTTTGCAATTTATCTATAGTCAATGCATATTCTTCAAGCTGTTGCTTCAGATTTTTGTTTTCTGTTTTCAGCTGTAAAATAGTTGCCAATTAGAATAATAATAAATAACAATTTTGTTACTATAAATAATAAATATAAAAATGTATGGGAAGTAAGTCACCTCTATCATGAAATATTCCACTTGATAAAAACTTTATGTTGTAATAAACTTAGTAATACATCTATTACTAATTTGTCACATTTAAGGTGGACACTCATCAGTGTCCACCTTAAATGTGACACAGAAACAGGCACACACTGTTATGGGCCACAATTATGTGTTTATGATTATTAGTATTTTATCAGAATCTTATATAAAATATGAAATATTCACTATATTTATTACACATTATTTTTTAAGTTAATTAAGTGCAGGAAGCAAATTAATTATAAAATGACTAATAAATATAATAAGATATTGGCATAGTAACTAATTAGAAAACATTTTATTGAAATTGTAACTCCGATGAATTACAATTACTATGAACAAAGCTGTAGTGGATATAAAATTTAGTTCTCTAAAGTGCATGGAGAGGAATGTCCAGATATGGATAGGACATCACTATACTACTATACTATGTTTTATGTCAAGGCTAAGTAGACAAAATAGTAAGTTATGGTGTTACAATAATAACAATAAAGGTGTAGTATTGATAAAAAACCAAATTTATAATATAAAGTTAGAGAATTGAGAAAAATAATATTTCGCGGTAAAACAAGATAGGTACCTCGTCAATAACATTCCCTTCATCGTAGTTTTCCAAATTATCATATATATCATCCATTCTGCAACTGCTTTAAACACTTTTCAAAATTATAAATGTAGTATCTATTAATCAAATTAAAATAAGCACAATTTACATTTAAATACAAACTAAAAATGAATTATGTTTTATAGAGTAAAATATTATAACAGAACAATTCATGTCATTAAACTGTCAGATTTTGTTTGACATTGACATTAACGTGTCTTACTTGATTTAAAGCAGACAGACATTAAGGTCTTTAAAAAGTATCTATATTACTTTATCGTTTTAACTTTCTAATATTATTATTATCTTCTCAAACTTATTGGTAGCATCATAAATAAAAATGTAATAAATAAATTGTATTTAATGCTATTTTAATTTACTTTTTTTACACAGATTATTCTGAGGCTGTCCGTTCCACAGAATGCTGTTTTTGAATCGGCCCTTTGACGTAAAAGCTCCGTGTCTATGGGTTTGCCCTCTCCTCACCGCTTACCTTCCTCAAATCAAACCCATTGTAAACGCAAAAGTTTCTTGCGGGGGGCGCTAGTAGTACAATTCGTTTTCCACTCATTTCTTTTTTCACATCACAGCTTGTTTAGCGCCTAGCTCGCTCGTTGTGGACGTTGTTTTTCGTGTAGTGTTTATTTAGATGGCTTTTTCTCATTTATATTAGACATTAGTACTATTATATTTTAAATTACTTTAACATTAAAATGTTTAAGATATAAAATCAGTCGTTAGCATGATTTTCGTGCAATAGTGCAACCTGTGCAACAGGCGAATGATCGTGTAAACAGAAGAGAGAACATTGTGATTTCAAAATGCCTACAGACTCTGAATGTGAGTGCGACTTAGTGTCAAAGGAATGGTTGTTAGCAAAACTTCGCTCAGACGAAAGGGACACCATCCTAATAGATTGTCGTGGTTCAAATGAATACTCTGTATCTCATATAAGGTCTGCGGTGAACTTTTCTATACCGACTATAATGCTGAGACGGCTAGCCGCAGGCAAGATCGAGTTGTCGTCGACAGTACAGTGCAAAGAGTTGAAAGCCAGGATCGTGCATTGCCGAACGCGAGGTATCTTCGTTTTGTATGGAGACGGAGCCTCCAGGGATGCGGATTCTGTTCACGGCATCTTGTTGAAGAGGCTTAAGCAAGATGGTGTTCAAGTTGTATGTCTTGAAGGTCAGTCATATTTTTATATTGAATATATTTGTCACTGTGACACTGCAGCAATGCATAATAACATATCTTTCAATATTATTATGCATATGACCAATGATTGTAAAAGGAAAATCACCTAAGACCCTAGTATGAGTGGTAAAATTTATACCTAAACTAAAAGTATGGCTTTTAAAATATAGTTATTTTCAATTAGTCAACTATTTAATTTTTTGAACCAATTTAAGATGTTCAGTAATTATTAAAAGACTGGTACTATAGTCTCGGGACATTAAAATATTCTTTTGTAATCTTTAAGTAATTACCTCCTCCCTCCATGGTCATAAAAGGGCTATTCAGACATAATCAGTCCAATATTAAATAAATAAATTAAAAATCATAACTTTTTCTGCTCTATTGACTGATCAATAATTCAAATCGTTACCTTACTTTGCTATTGGGACACAGATATTGCATATTATTTTATTTTCAACATTAGAGAATATTTTATAGTTGATAGTATTATCTCACAAAAAATGTCTAGCAATGTTGAAATTTTAATGAAAACATAAACTTCTAATGTTCACATGACAAATTTTTTAAGTCCAGAAGTATATCCCTGGAAAGGTAATGCATGAGAAGTACTGTTGGATTCACACTGTGTTCTATGATAATTTTGTCTTTAGGTATGGCTTACTACTTTCCCACATATAGGCTATGCCCATTCAAAGTGGTATAAAAAAATTCTTATATATTAGAACAGAAAGGGAAATATTGTCTTAAAGGTAATATACTGTTACTGTATTTTTGACCAAATACATTTTTTTTTAAATTCAAATGTGACGAAGACTTTCAAAGTAGATTTCAAAGAGTAACAAATGGATAGTATTAGAAAACAGCACATTTTTAACATATATTTTAGTGAAAGACGACTTATGTGTGTAGAACATTTTCTTTTTTATCATTTTGTTATAATTTTTTTCATGACCTTAAGTAGTCATAGAGTATACTGCCTCACCTCAGAGTATATTCATGAGTAAAGGTATTTGAATTACATTGAATGAAATCTAGTGTTATGTACATTATTTATATAAGTTCTTAATACATTTTGCACACATAGTATTGCAAAGTTTTTAAATATTAGTAGTAACTAATAATTAAGTAGTAAATTTATAATTAATTTATAGTCTGTCATGAAGACAGATATATAATAAAAAGAATCCGGATTAGTATTATTTGTTTCATAATATAATATTATGAAATAAATAATACTAAAGCCAGGTTAACTAACCAGATTAATGAAACTAGTAAAATATGTTTCCTATTTAACCTTACTGATAAAAATAGGAAACAGTTTAATGTTAGTCTTAATCTTCAAATCTAAAAGCAAAGTCATCTAGCTAGATAAAATTCTTTTAATAGGTTGTGAAAATGTTCAGATAACTAAACAATGAACTCAAAATATTGTTTAATGAAATATTTCTTATTATTTGGTAAATTTTGTCATTGTTGTAATTCCATGGCCTTTATCTTATTATTTGGGGTTGGTGCAGGAAATTGATATTCTTCATTATTACTATACTAAATGAATTTTAAAATTAGTGAAAATTTAAGTGTATACTAGCTGTTATTCACAATTCGGCCTGCACAAAGTTTTATCCCCTCCTCCGTCTATCCACATCCTTCCTCTCAGGTAATATTTTGATATAAAAGAAGTCTCTCTGTCCTCATAATATCTTAATGTTAAATTTCATTATGTCAGATCCCATCAACCATTTAATCATAAAGGTAATAAACAGACAGCCATATACATTTTCGTATTCATAATAATGTTATAGATACTAGGGGTAACAAGTATATATTATAACAGAACTGTTGTAATCCAAGGAAGCGTAATAAACAACTACATGATACATACAATATTTTTTCCCACACAAGTACATCATCATTCATTCAGTTGTTTTGAACACGTAATAGGTATAACATGTTACCACGCAGACAAGCGTTTCGTAACCATTCATTGACAAAAAGTATCTCAATGTCTGTACCTATCTAAGTAGATGCCAGTAACATGATAGATGCGATACTTTGTCTAATAATCTCGCAACTATCAAATGTAATCAATGTAATCAGATATTATGCACGCACAAAGACTTCGACTTTAACAGGAAGTTCTGAAATAAAGATTTTTATATAGTCGTAATTCTCTGGTTATGCAGGAACCATAATGATAATGGTAAACGATTTTGCTACCTACCAACATTGTCAAGGTCGCGCTGGCGTCAGAAAAGCTCGGCAAAGGGTTTCTATATCGCAAATCAGATACTAGTTTTATACAAATCACAAGTCCGATCTTCTCTGAAGTACTGCTCTATAATCTATGATCAAGAACTCCTGGATCTAGCTTGCTCCTTTTGACTCGGTTCAGGAACGTGCCTTCGTAAGAATTGTCAGTGATCGCCATCTCAGTAGCGGTATTGAGCCCCTTAGTTTGAGGCGAGACTTCTCCTCCCTGTGTATGTTCTACGGATTGTGTTTCTCTACCACACTTTATAGTCTAAGGTGTCATCCCTTAGGTTTCAGGAGTTTAGGCCAGTACTGTTTTAGAGAAGTTTGCTACCGCGCATACTTATAATGTGGAATCAATTACTTCCCGAGATTTTCTCTAGATACTATTGCATAGGATTTTCAAGAAAGGTATATTAAGGTTTCATAAGGGTGCACGTTAAGTGCATGTGAGATCTGTAATGTTTGAAAACCTTCGTAGGCTACGGTAACTGATTAGCATTAAATGTATGGTGTATGGTTAAATAAATAAAGTAATGTAACCATGATATACGCACTACGGAAAGTCCCAATATTCCCAGTGCCCGGGGAACGCGTAAAGCCGGGGTAAACAACTAGTCGCAAGCAAATTGCATAGTACAGAGCGTTATACCTATGTCCCACGGTACGACGACGTTATATCCGGAGTGCTGTTCATGTACATGAATATGCCAAATACATATATATATATATATATATATATATATATATATATATATATATATATAGGCGACGACGGTTAGCACTTACCGTCAGGTGGCCCGTCAGCTTGTATTGTGCGTTGATAGACGACCTCGGTGGTCAAGCAGTTTAGTACATCGCTTTGCTTCCGATGGTCGCGAATTCGATTTATCACCAAATCAAACATTAATTAATATAAGTATTATTGCTTGTATCGGTCTAGGTGTTTTCTGTGTATATTATGCATTTCTGTATTTTTATCAGTTGTCTAATACTCATAATATAAAGATAGAGGGTAAAAGACCTTGAGGCCGAAGTCCCACTCGAAGGTCAGTCAGGTATCCCTTCAGATAAACATTACTGTCAGCGCCGCACTGCCCCAGGCGTCTGAACGCAACCGATTGCGACAGCTGGTCGACAAGGTAATGTAGAGTCGCGATCCTCAGCATTGAGGGAATGATTAAGAAGAGAAGATCAGTTGTCTAGTACTCATAGTATAAGCTCAGGTTACCTTGGTTCCGAATGTCGCTGTATATAATGTCTAGGGTTATTATTATTATATTTTTATAGATAGTCAGGACAACCAATTATATAAGTATAGAGTAGCTATTCCGAAATCTAATTATGTTCGCATTATTATGAAACACACGTAATATAGATAAAGATAGGCAGGTAGGTAAGTTGAACCGTAAACTGAGGTAAACTGAGCTAAACGTATCCTCCACATAACAACATTCTGCGAAATCCCTGGAACCTTTAGCTGATAAGGAAAATTGCCTGCTAAAAATAAAACAAACTTTTGTTAGAAACATATCTATTTTAAACTTCAAGTACACGTGTCGCCTCATTGTTGTTAGGTTTTGTCTCGTTGTAAAAATATGCCTAGGATTAAAAGAAATAAATAATTGTATCTTAAAAAGCCACCGCAGCCGCCTACCGCTTTCTAAAAAGACGGTCCAATTTTGACAAAATGGCCTACGGTTGTTATTTAAATTGTGCGAGGGGCATATAAGAGCTATGCCGGAGGTCGCAAGTCGAAGCGTCCGGTCCTCCAAACGTGGGAGAGGAAGTCGGCTACTTATTGTGCTCCTCAATGCGAGACGAGACGGTATGTAGATTATGATCGCCGACGCGCCAGTTTGTTTCAACTGCCTATGTGTTATTTCATAGATTGTTAAAACGTGTATGTTATGGATATGCTAGGTGAAGTTTGTTACTCATAATTAATTTGTACATAAATATTTATAATTTTTACGCATAACAAAACTCATCAGATTCATTTAGTAAATGTTATAAATATAATAATTAAAAAAACATTGCTGTTAGTAGGAAAAATGAGTGTGGGAATGTTATTCGGCAATAAGCCAATGAAGATTTACGGAATACATTACTAACAGCAAGTAGTTTAAAAAAAACATTGTAAAAATGAAATATTATCACAGAAAAGAATGACGAACTTATATAAAATCATAATCGGGGAACAATATGTCCTACTGACTAAGGGCGAAGTCCAGAATCTTTATAAGAGTGAGCGTAACAATGGAACTGCATAGAAGAGATTTAACAACCGGGCTGTTTACTTACTTAATAGAGCTCTAGCGTGAAGATAATAAGAGAAACAGATTCTATCATAGATATTAGTTCAGACAACATAACAATATCAAAAAAGATTTTATTATACTATACTGTAGTCCATTATTTAATTTTTTTGTGCCCTATTCCCACGTTTTGAAATTACGTAATAATGTAATTAGGCACTTGATATGCAATAGCGAATAAAATCCACACTAGACCAGTCTCATAGTTAGAAGAAAATCGAGTGCGTAGACTTCACTTTTACCACCATAATTGTTTAAAGCGATGATCAAAGGGGACCGGATGTGAATACTGCTTCGATCAACGGAAGAACGCTGCAATTTTATTAATAAGTTCCTGTTTCACTAACGTCCTGCCTACTTCTTCTATTTAACACTCCACATAAACACCTGCTCTGTATGAGTAACAGTGCACGTAATTTA